GGGGGGGGGGGGATCAAGTTTTTAAAACGCAACCAAGGGGGTTGGTTGCGTTTTAAAATCTTGAGTAAGACACTAAACTAACCCCCCCGAATGGTGGGTTAAAACACTTGACCTACCCCCCCTTTGGGGGGTTGGTTGCGTTTAAGAATGGTGCACAACAATTATTGTGTATTTTCTGATATTAATCTGTGAGATCCTGAGTGGTAACTCCACTCACCCTTTCTTAGCAATGGTTCTGACAATTACATTCTATCTATAATTTGTATATACTAGAGCAGAGCGCTCCTTTCGGAGACAATAAACTGGTTGCGTTCTGGAGCAGTGATCATGCGACTGGCTTGGTAGTTGGTGATCTCGTAGCTGTGAAGCGTTATTTGTTTACTCGGCATTGTTGTGTTGGTTTACCAACACAACAATGCCGAGTAAACAAATAACGTAACATTGTTGATGACGTCATTTTTTGACGACAAATTGATTGATGACAACGGGGAATCAGAAATTTTTATAGTAGATTTTACCTGGTTGTCTAGGAGTAAATTATTGAATAATCAAGTCAAGTATAGCATTTCAATGCATAATATCACCTCTGTGATAGTTTTGGCTTTGGGAATATGGAGAACACTTGGCCCTCTTATGCTTCTAGAGGCTTTGTTAGTTCTTTTCAGATTTTGGGATCTTGCATTTCATCTGAATTTAATTTCTGATATGGGTGAAGTTAAAAGAAATACAACACAAAAGTAGGAGGCTGAATGTTTTAGTATGGAAGTGTTAAATTAGTGCAAAGAAGTAGTTCAAGCTCAAAACAATTACCAAAAACTTTCCTTTATTGACTAAATACAAACACTGCAGCCTAATGTGTCAAATTGGATTGTTCTTTCTCATTATTCCCTTCTCAGTTCTTTTTGTGTGTGTGTCTTTAAAACTGAAGCTGGAATACAGATGCTGCAAAATTTGGATTTCAGTACGTCTTTAAAATTTCAGCCTTGTTCAATGGCACCTGAATCATATTCGTTACAACACTAACATGTATTACAGTGTGTATATTAAATTTATTTCAGGGTATTTTAGATTGTAAATAAATATCTAGGGATGATACATAGGCTGGCATTTTCTAGACAGTCCACTGTGGTGAGAATAACACAGTCTAAACCATTAGCACTGTACTTTAATCAATAGGCAAAAGAGGCCGAGTTCTTAGAAGCTGTATCGTCACAAATACATTTAACAATTAATGGTCCATGGTAAAATATGCATTTAATAAATCATTGCATTTGTGAGTTACAAAGATATAAGCAAAAGATATTTTAAATAATTTTGTTACTTCTCTTATTGAGTCCTCTCTCTGAACAGAGTTCATAATTTATGTAGATCACAAAATTATTTATAACATCAAGAATAGTTACTCTGAAACAGAATTTCCCACAGCAATTAAATGCAAATTATCCATTTGGAGAAAATGTACAAAATGCCACTTCTATACAAAGAGAATTCTGTATTAAAGGAAAAATCAATAATAAATGAGTCAATTGAATATAAGCTATTCCCATTCACACATTTATTAATTTATGTATTTAAAACCAACTTGACTGCACTAGTTACTTCCAGCTTACAATGTTAAAGGTATTCCTGCCACAACATTTTCAATTACTATAATGCCATGACTAATTCAAATTATTAATATCTATAATGAGAAAGTGAGAATAGCATTATATAGCATTACAGAGCATTATAGCAAAGGTACACTTTATGTGTAGCCCCTATATATTACAAACTATTAAATATGTGCAATATAAACAACAGTCTATATATGTCAAGATTTATCTTAAACTATTAATATTATAGAAAAATATTCATAAATCAGACTGTTAATTATCTTCATTAGAAAAACAATTTCAACTAGAACTTCCCGAATTATGCGTTAGTCACATCATGTTTAGGTAATAAATATTTTATTTCTTGCAATTTTAAATACGTTATATTGCTATTGTTATTATTAGTATTAGTATTACTACTTGCGGTATTAACGTCGCATCAGCAGTGGCAGACCCTAGTAGTATCTATTTTCTTCTTGGGAAGAATTTAATTATAATTAAGTACAAACTTATAAACAATATTTCATTCAGAATTTGTAGGTATAATTATGATCTACCGCCAAATTCCAAATGCCTGACTCCAAACAACTCTACGTTACCGAGTATGCCATAATTGCGCGCTATTACTTGCAGGTTAACAAACGGACATGAGGAAAATAATATATGATTGTAGTACTTGTTCTAACACATTTAAATCTAAGATTAAAATAATTTAAAGTAAATGTAGGTAGTGGTATTTTCCACCCAGATTCAACGACTGCAGGGAAGTCCTGGAATTGAGGTTTGGGTTTCTCACGGTGACGACAATGTTGATGTTGGTCTTCAGAGTTGTGATCTTCAGCCCTCAAGATGAAGGGAGCCTGATCCTCGGAAATGCTGGTATCTACCCACGAATCAGTACGCCGTTACAACCCAGAAAACCAACATCGACAGAAACAGTCTTAGTTACCAGTCTCTTTTATGAATACAGAATACAACTTGTAAAGACTTGTTGGCATGAAGTTACGAAAAGCTTTGAGAAGGATCGATCTTACGACAAATTTATTTTCTACTTTTCGTGTATCAGAAATATGAAGTGTAACAGGCATTTGCTCAGTCCATCAAATAAACCTGAAAAATGATGTCGCTTGCCGATCAATAGCAAGTTAACCAGCATGAAAATGGGCGCGTTTTGAAATATAAATGAAATGAATGATGATGTTTGTTCTTGTCAATTCGGTCGATAAGTAAACAACTTAGTTCTGACATTCTGTTATAATTTATATCATGGACTAAACACAAGTTTTATTTTAGATTTCTATGTATCGACTGTGAAACTTTCATGTGCACTGCTTTAACGATTAATAAAACAATATCTGAGTTATCCGCTTGAAATGTAATGCCACAAAATATTGAGTAACTGACCATACCATGAATCACGAATTTGTGCTTTATTACTCTGTTACCTTAAAACTAATACGAATCTTCAACAATTGATTCTATGCCTGATTCACAGGAGTCAGACTCCATCTGATGATCAATTTCTAGATGTCATTTCTCTTGCATTTTGCTAGTCTGCTCCCATCTCACGTAATGGTATTATCGATTGTAGGAAATTAAAATGTACGATTTCAGGGTATTCTACAATGGCAAAATTGCATTAGAATCTCTTCAGAGGTTCTCAAGTTGAATCATGTGGATGGATAAACGTTATCGGCCATATAAGCATTTATTCTGTGCATGTCATGCAAAGAATGCATAACAAAGTACAAATGTTTATATAATTAATAAAAGAATTGGTCACGGAATAAATGTACATAAAGTAATCATGATGAAAAATAAATATTGGTGCTAAGTTGTAGTATGACAGTAGCTAACAAGTGAATGTAAAATTTTTCAGGATTTAAATATATGAAAACAATTGAAATAAAATTCATAAATTGCACTGACAGAAAATATACGGACCTGAGAGAGATGAATTATCTGACAAATTATATAACAAGGAACTCTGTGGTTTACACATCAATTCTAGTAATGATGGGATGATAAACAGTTATGATGGGCTAAATTCAGAAAATAAAAGAATCTTAAAAAAACAATATGTATGGATCTGCTGTGTTGAACCATCAGGTTCTATTAACAGAGAATTAGTTAGAATAAGCCTTTTAAATATGTTTAAGGATATATTTGGCTCATTAGTTACTGCAATTTTGAGTGAAGAATAGAAAGACACACTCTTATAGGATCCACTCAGAATGCCAGTAATGCTTGAAGAAGCTTCATAGTACAAAAATACCTACAAGATAAAACATGTCAACAAAATCAGCAATTTCAATTTGAAATATTTTTCTGTGTAAAACATTATGAAGAAACAAAACCAACAAACAAATCGGTCACTGAAAATAACAAAAACATAAAATTATATATAATAGAATGTAAGAATAAGGGTTACAGTGGGCCAAAGATAACATTAAACATTAAGCCTCCCACATGCCTAAGCAGTATGCCAGTAAGGTACAAAGAGCAAACAAAGATATAGCTTCAAACATTCATCATCTCAGAACTGGATTGAGGTCAGTTGTCAGCTTCACATTTCAGATGATTTTTAAATACCTGTAGAGTGAGTAAGAAATATGAATCATAGTAATTCAATACATTCTTCTCTGAGCTCTGGGTTTAAAATTAACTTAAAATGAGAACAGAAAGTAGATTATGTTCTCATATGTCACTAAGGAGAGCAAAGATGGCGAATTCAAACATGTCATATGATATTTATGATACTTTTGAAACTCGGGTTTCTTTTACAAATGCACGTTAATATTTTACAGGATAGCAATGCAAACATTACATGCCTACAATATGTATGATGGCATCTTGCCATTTTCTTAACACACTGTATACAGCAAATGTATTATGTCATGTCTTCAGATCTTACAGGCAAAGGTTACATATGGAGAGAATCTACATATGTCTATCACATATAGACTAAGTGCAAGTTCTAAGAATTGCAAGTAGCTCAATTTGTTTCTTATGTTTGAGCAAAAAAAAAAAAAGCATCTCATGGTTGTTTGCGATGTATTCCTTGATGTGGTTAGTATGTGCTTGCTGCCCATTCACTTTCGTACGTTAGCTGTAGCAGCCTGGAAATAATGTTAACAAAAATGCTGTACAAGGACTTTTATCAATGGGAAAAAGTAAGTATTGTTCAAGATTTAATAAAAACTGTTTCGTTTTTAAAAAAAATCAGTTTCGTGCTTTAACATTACAATCATGCACATTCATTTTTACCTGTAAACATATAAAGGGCACTTGCATAGCATAAAAATACTCATTTGAGAAAATCCATTAAATGGTTCAAAAGAAAGTATTTTTCAAAATATATTCTTTTCAGACTGAGAGATATCTAAAATAACATCATCCCTAAAAGTGTTGTGAGTGATTTTCCATCATAAAAGTTTCTCTTTCGATAATATAAAGCAATTAAAGGGGAGATGCAATCTTAACTTCTATTTGGCAAACAGTACTTCATTGTGATGCTGTTCACAGCTTCAGATCTTCACACAGGCAAAAGTAGCATATCTCAGAGGAAGATCAAAAACTCACTCAAGCCAGTGATTTGTATACCATATCTCTCAACAAAGACATTTGAGTTTAAATCTTTTATCTTTCAACAGATTGCTTTGTTGATATTGTCCCTACCCAGTACAAATACTGGTTCTGGCTACCAGTACCCTGATGGCCAACTTGTTGTGGATTCAGCTTTGGCAGTTGGAGTCCATTACTTCACACCTGGTGGAACAGTTGTGGTATCACTGCCTAACACAACCCTTTTAGCACCAGACTTCAAAATCCATGCATCAAGGAAACTGGGAAAACTAGCACTGTCAACTGATGGAAACACAGAACAACTTATTGATAACCTAACACAGCGTCTTCATAGCTCAAGTCTCTGGCCAGTTGTGGTCACTTGTCCTGCAGATGGAATTATAAAACATGACCCAACAAACTGGGATACAAGGAACGACGATGTTCATAGTAGCTATGTTCTGGTTACCATGCAGCACAAAGATTGGCAAGATCAGGCAGTGTACAGCTTGAGGGAGCAGATACAGAACCTGGAAACAATTCCTGCTTGGAACTCACGAGCAAGATTTGTCATAATGTTGTTAGCAGAGGTAACTAATGCCAGAGAAGTGGCAAAAGATGTTCTGCAAGAATTGTGGCAATGGCAGATAATGAATGTAGTAGTGTTACTTCCAGCTTCAAATATCAACAGCAAAATGCATATTGTGCTTGTGTATACATGGTTCCCTTATCAGTCTCCCTCAGGTTTGTGTGGGGAGCTAAGAGATTCTGTCCATATTAATTCTTGGATCTTGGATGAAGAAGGGGGACGATTTCTAAAAACCTCACCTCTATACCCACAGAAAGTTCCATATAATCTCAACAGCTGTCCAATCAGAGCTTCTACTTTTGAATTTTATCCTTTTGTTATATGCGATAAGCGTCTAGGCATCGGGACAAATACATCAATCACTGATGGCTTGGAAATACAACTGATGCAATGCATAGCTGAGGGTATGAACATGACACTCATACTTCGAATACCACCTGGAGATGAAAGAGGAGGAATACAGCTGGAAAATGGTACCTGGACAGGACTAAGAGCTGACATAGTAAATGGCAAAGCAGATATCACATTTGCCAGCCTTCTGAGCAAGCTTGAGGATCATCTTATATTTGATGACACAATAAGCTATTTCACTGATAGATTTACATGGTTTGTAGCTCGTGCAAAACCTTATCCTCGCTGGCTGGGCATGGCCAGAGTGTTTGATCCAATGACATGGTTAGTAGGTTTCCTAGTAATTATATTAGCAAGTATTTTTACAAGAATTTTGCTGTCTTTCAAGACCATCAGACACAATGAAGTGCCAGGTAATTATTGGCGATTTTCTGTCTGTCTGTCCAGTATGTGGGCTGTGTTCTTGGGTGAAGGTGTACCCATAATGCCTTGCAGTCTCCCTCTTCGATCATTCTTTCTCTGCATGATAATCTACTCACTCGCAGTCAACACAGTATTCCAGACATTTTTCACCAGCTATGTGGTAAACCCTGGACTCCTACACCAGATAAGTAATGTGGATGAACTCGTTCAGTCTGACCTTGTCTATGCTTTCTACTATGTCCTAGATAAGTTCTTCACTGCAGATTTCTTACATAAGTTAGAACCAAGAGTCCAGTGTGAACCTTTCAAGTGTCTGGATTATGTTGCCACTCAAGACAACTACGCAACATTTTGTGGTAGGGCTTTGCTGGCATACATTGTTGATGAACTGGTGAAACAGGAGGGTAAACATGAGATTTATGCATTTCAAGAAGATTCCTTCCAATTACATTCTGTTATGCTGATGCCAAAAGGAAGCCACCTTCTGGATCGGATTAATGTGGTAATGACCCACATTGTCGAAGCTGGTTTACCAAATCAGTTTCTAAAAAGTATATTAGATGCAAGGAGAATTGAAGCTGGAATATTAGCTCTTCAAGATCTAACTGACGAATATTCTGCCCTTAGTCTGAACCATCTTCAAGGATCATTTTTCTTTCTCTTAATGGGGCTTGCTCTGAGTCTAGGTATGTTTTTATTTGAATTACTGAAAATCTGTAAGTGATATGCTTTGTGTTGTGTCTTAATATCTATTATACCTTCAAGAGATGTGATGTCCTTTAATTACTAAGTTATAACAATTCTTTCTTTCAATAGTAAATTAAATTCTTAGTAATGCAAGCAGCTGCTAATTCATCAATTTGCCAGTGTTTAATTTTGATTATATGTTGTAAAATAAAATAAAGTTATTTTCAAATATTTTTCTAAATCAAAACTGATAAAATATCAGAGTCTCTATATAACACACAGAGACTATATATTATTTCATGTTAAGAAAAATAAATCACTAAGGCCAATCTGCAAAAGGAATACTGCCCTAATAAATCAAATGATCTAGCAAAGCTTTCACAAATTAGTTAACTTTCCAGTGGATGTCACTTTGAGACAGAAAGAAAATATTAATGTTTTTGAGCACTACAGTCAGGAACCACAATTTCCTTACCACATTTGACAGAGTGAAACTGTACATCCCATCTTCCAACCCTCTTAATCTCTCTATAGTCCACGTCACTTTACAATTGCTGATGATCAGACACCCATTCCATCTTGGTGTTGATCCCCTATCAGGACTCATGACCAGATTTTAAGTTGTGGGTCTCACCATTATAGTTTACTGTCATTTTGCATCCTCCCTGATAGGATAAGTCTGTCATTTGTCTTTGTCATGTCTATATATTATTTCATTTTAAAATGAATGTACATAATCACAATTTATACTTTCCTATGTACAATATATACATGGTCTCTTGTCAGTCCAGGGTTGTTCAGCAGATTACGCCCTATCTTAATTTTCTCTATGCCACAACAAGCAGATCAGTCACTTGTATGATCATAGGCTTGACTGCCACCAAGTTCAAGCCTCTTATATCTTATGTGTTGGAACCTCTCTGGAAGTAAACAGAATTCTGTCTGACAGACAGTCCCATACTAGATGTGTTTTATTCACTCAACCTTGTTATGTGGACAACCAAATGGAAAGTTAAAATACCATAACTGAAGGATATAAAATCAAAGAACTTCTTCCTTAACCTCAAAGAAGATGGTTCAAGAAATACATGGTGTGTGCGGTAAACTTTGTCAACAGCCATCAGGAGGGTGCACCAACATTTAGTAAAAACATGCAACAAATACTAAAATATACTGGTATCATACTTTAAAAACTGTCATTCCATCACAATATGACTTTAGTGTCACACGTATTACAACAGAAAATACTGCCATCTTTATGTGAAATTACAAAACATAATGGGTGTAATTGATAAGGAACATCTCCAGGAGCCTGTCTTCAAATATCATCTGTAACCCTCCTCTGTTTAAACAGATAGAGGCCTTGCAACAAAGTCAGCATTAAAATCACTGTGTCAGTACTGGAGGATATCCTGGCTTATAAAGCTTGTCCTGAGATTTACTATTGTACTTTCAATGTACTGACTACCAACCACATAAATAATAAATTCACAAAAATTAAATTTTTTGGATAAATCCCCTTTAAAAGTAAATCTCAGCATATATGTTACGGATTCAATAGAAACCTCTATACTATTAATGAAACAACAACAAGATAAGCCACTAAAATAAACTAGATACTCTTACACTGAATATATTACTTTTCTTTATAAAGATGAAAATAAATATATATGCCACAATTTTCTGAATAGTAGCCTGGGCTACAATTTAGTCTCTATGTTAAGTACCTGGCTACAGTTTGAGCCTACACTACAATTTTAGTTGTGCAGTTCAAATACACATTTGAATTATACTCAACTCCATTCTTTCAGTTTTTGTTTCATTAACATACTCTCAAGCAAACTGAGGCATTAATTAACCTTCATTATACAGCATGTACCATTTAAAATGCAACTAAACAACAATCACCTACTATGATACAAAAATATCAGCAGCAGGTCCACACCCATGTAACACTTTCCCAACCACCCCTGTGACACTGAGGTCAAGGTTACCATGGTTGCTATAGTGGTTGCAGTACTACAATGTTACAGAACATTACACTAGGACTGCCTTCAGTTCTTAAAATATGTCTATCATAACCTACATGCATATAAATTACTCCAAACCAACCTATACACCGAGATCTGACAGTAGATGTCATTTAAAGTGTTACTGTTCCTCTTATATTATTCTTATCAACGATGTATACGTCCATTTATACTGGAGTTTTGTTCCTGGCGTTTGCAATTTCTGTTGTCTCCAGTCTGCTTGTTACTTATAATATTAATTCAAGTAAATACATATGCAATATGTTCCAGATTCTTCAAGCACATTATTGATTATGAGGATCATCTACACATTTGTTTCTTTTCACTTTCATTACTTTGTAAATTTACTAGAAGTTTGTAAAATAAAATGTCATACACAATTACAGAAATGATATATGAACACAACAAAACTGAAATCAGGAACAAAACCTTAACATAACAATATATAACAAATCACTGGAGAATGTTCCAGAATTTAAATATCTGGGAACAACAATAATAAATATATATGAGATTAACGACAAAATTGGAAAAAAAAATCCGTATTTTGGACATGCTTGTTATCATTCAGTAAGTAAAATGTTATCATCCTATACACTTTTTAAAATCCTAAAGATAAGGATAAAAAAATAAGGTCGAAATTATTGTATAGGTATGAAATGTGGTTTCTTACTGACTGCAAGCATCTCTGAAAATAAATTACTCAGGAAAATAATGTGGCCAAAAGGGATGAAAAGGACAATTTAAGACTTATACAGGTCACCTAGTATTATCAGTATAGTGAAATGAAGGTTATGATACGAGGTGCGATCGGAAAGTTTCTAGACTGTGCCTATAAAACCCCGTACACTTATCTCAGATATTAAATTCATCCATCACCCTCGAAGTAGTTCCCCTGGGAGTGAACACAACGATCCCAGCGCCGCTGCCAAACCTGGAAGCATCCCTGGAAATCTTTCTTTGTCAGCCTGTCAAGCACCATCTGCGATTCTGCCTGAATCTCTTCTATCGTCTCAAATCTCCTTCCCTCCTCATCTTTGGGAAAAGGAAGAAGTCACACGGAGCTAAATCCGACGAATAAGGAGGGTGCGGGATGACGGCCATGGTGTTTGAGGCCAAAAACTGCCGAACTTTGAGGGCGGTGTGCGCTGGCGCGTTGTCATGATGCGTCGCATGTAGAGTTCTTCCTTTAGAATCAGCTGACAGGTCCCATAGCCTATCCCAACAATGTCGCACAAGTCGTTGAGGGTACGACGTCGATCTTCGTGAATGGCCTGCCGAATCTTCGTAACATTTTCGGGCGTTGTGCCCGAAGATGGTCGTCCAGAACGCTCGTCATCATCGACAGAGGTTCGGCCATTTTTAAAACGTGAATGCCACACAAAAGTTTGTGCACGACCCATTGCGCACTCCCCAAATGCTTGCTTTAGCATTCCATAGGTTTCCGTAGCCGTTTTGGCAAGTCTTTGGCAAAATTTGATGCACACGCCATTCCGAAAGCGCAGGAGGGTCGGTGTAATGCACTACCAAAACGCCCATAACTAAGAAACAAATGCTAATTCGATCATGCCGGCTGGCACACTGATTCCTAGCGGCAGAAGCTCGTACTACATCCGGTTCGCCCTCTATTGACACAGTCCTGAAACTTTCCGATCGCACCTCGTATGCTGGACATAACTAATTTGAGAACAAGGAATGCATATAAAATATTATTGGAGAACTGCCTTAGAAAAAAGCCACTGGGAAGACAGAGAAGCAACAGTAAGATGAATCTTGGTGAAGTAAGTTGTAAAGATGGGAAGAGAAAGGAACTGGTTCCAAGATCACATTCAACAGTGGGCTTTGGTACTAGCAGTATTAAACATTTGGATTCTAATTTCAGAGAATGGGTTTGTTAGTTATGTATGTACAGTTTTTGTACCAAGTCTTCATCTCTTATTCATCCATCCTTCTGTTTCTACCAGTCGGATATGGGATGCCCTTTACATTTTACAATTTTATTAATCAAGCTACAGGGGAGATAAATATCAAAACTTTCTCTTGACCTTTATTTGTGTTTTAGAGATGCAGCTTTGGGTGAGAGGTGTTATGTAATTTGAAAAAGGAATGACAAACAAGTTACAGATGACAAATTTAATTTAGTTGTCAGAATAGGTACTAAAGTTGAGGACATGTAAAGGGTAGGATAAATCTCACATGGCCTCTTCCACTGAATCACGTCTCCTGCTCTTAATAACCATTGTAGTTGAGACAACTTTGAACCCATTAATCAAACAGTGAAGAACACTAAAAGTGTGATGTAATGAGTATAACCAATAATGAGTTCATCTTTATTAGCATTTTTATGCACAGCCAGTATCATAATGCCACATATAGGAATACTTTTCAGTTGTAATGACAGTACTACATTATTTGCAGTATGTGAGCATTTCTGATCACCTGTATGTCAGTGTGGCATAGTCACTATGTCAATTATTTTTGCAAAATGAGTCTGTTTTCATTAATCATGTAAAACTGCATTTGGCAACATGATTTAATTGCTACTGCTATTCAGAGTCAGCCATATCCTACTGGTAACACAGTACAGTGGTCAGTACAAAGTTAAAATTTTAATTACTTAATATAGTTGCCAACTAACTATTCATTAAACTGTCGAAGGCAGGTCACATACAGAGAAAACCAGCTGCTTAAAATTGATTTCATACTGGAAATTATGATTTCATAGAAAAAGCTACTGTTTTAAATTGGAGGTCATACATAGAGTCATGTGAAATTATTGTTCAGAAACTTATTTTTCTGAGATTAATGGGCAAAATAAGTGTTGCATACAATCTGAAGCTTATAAATGCAGTAATAAAATCATTTGTGCTTGTAAGATTGTAATTTACATGAGAAAAGCAAGAGAAAAATATATCTCCACCATGGGAAACACGTGCTAAGGATGTGGAAAAGACAGGTGAATTACTTCTTTGAATAATCCATTTAATCAACAACTGAAGAAAGACAATCCTAAGCAAGCTAAACTTACTCCCAGACATGAAAGAGATGACAGACAAGACAAGGGAATAGGTTCTCTCACTTAATGGACAAAATTCTGAGCATCGTGTGCATTCCTACAACTGGTGCTGCCTTCTCACCCACTTCATGGCTGACTATTAGTACTGAAGGGTAATCACATATCCATGCTGTAAACACCCAACACATAGAAACACAGTTCATATGCCTGCCTTCACCTTCAAAGAATCTACATTTATCTCATAGTCATCTGTTTCTTAACATCATGAGACTTTCTTCATATAATATAAATGCAGTATAATTTACCTACTGTATGTAATGAATATATATATATTTGTAACATATTCCTACTTATGTGAGCCCTTTGTTTATATTATGTGAAGTCTACATAATAGTATGAATTGTACTTGTATAATATTTATTGTATTATTATGATGAATTATTCCACATCCTATTGTCATCTGACTTATGGATCCATGGAATATAATAAAGATGTATGAATGTATGTATGAACTGTACAAACTATTTATTATTTACAAATACACATGTTATTATGTTACTGTTACATATTCCACATCCTGTAATATCTTTAAAGGTAGAAGTTATTACTGGTGTCTTTTCTTGTTAGCTTTGGCTCAACTGAACACACCAAGTCCTGAAATAAGATGGACTCACCCTGTGTGAAAACTGAAAATATGTCCAATATTGTATTCTTTTTTGTCAATCTGACCACCACCAGAGAAACAAAACATTCTTATAACCCTGTGACATGATAGAGACAACCAAAGTAATTTTTCCTGCATGTTGATCAGCAAGAACTGCATAAAATATTTACATTCAGCTCCATATATAACCTGTTTAAAAGGATGTCTCATTCTGTTTCTGTTATAAATGAACAATACAAAGCAAAGTGAGCCCAAAAGTTTACACATTTGTACTGTGACAAGAAATGTAGGAATGGTGTAAGTAATGCAGCAATTTCTTTACAGAGAATCAGAATGTTTAGGCAACTCTGCAGTGACCAGACAGTAGTGAAGGAGGTAATAAGAAAAGTCTAACAACTGACTTCTCTGACATGCATTGCAAGATAGATTGTGTAAGTTAACACAAAATCTTTTTGGCCCCAAAATCTCCCATTGTTTGTTTTTAAAATACTAATTCAGTTTTAATCTTTGTGTTTAATTCTTGTCCCTATGTTTTTGCAACTGTTCAATGGGTAACTTTGGTTTTCAGGCTTAGACTGCATCAAATGTCAATAGCCATTCAATGTTTCTGCAAATATTGCAGTTGCCACCTTCAGGGTGTATGTTGAAACAATGGACAACTATGAACATTTGGCACAGCCTAACCCTCAAATACAATGTTACTCATTCTTTGCACTACCAAATAAATGTGAGATAGCTACTTTCCACAACCAAATGATATTAGGCAATGGATTGATTTCCCATTCCTCCACTACCTACGACTTGCAGGAAGAGAAATATCAGAGATATTATCAGTCTCATTTAGCTATGTTTCTAACAGAAGGGGACCAGGTGGGAGGTTGGTATGACAGTCTCTGTGCTGAAAACTATCATCCAAAATAATATAGTACAATCAGTGTGCATGGGTAACAGTAAAACTAACACCACTGCCGGAATTATTTTGACTGGTAAATACTTATTTTGCTGTCCTGTTGCATAAAGCAACTCAAATGTTACAACTATGCCATTCAGGAATGTAATAGCTAAGTCATAATTTATAACTGAAACCCATATGTCTATATACTGCATGGATGTTGTCACAACCTCGATTAAAAATACTATATTAGTCACAACACAGACATCATATTTGTTCTAAAGTTCACCCCAACACATTTTAAGCATGAATTTTCAGTTACTAAGGTCACATAAATGTCTTAATTTTGTGACTCAAGTATAAGGTGTCAGTAAGATAAATATATTATTTCAGTACTACAGAATATATATAAATTTAATTAAAATTATTGCAGTACAAAAGCCTATGGAACTAAATTTAATTATTCTCTGCCTGATTTTGGGGGAAATTTTTTATATTCCAGAAATTAAATTTTCTACAATGAGTATTCATTAAAAAACATTTCTTATGAACACAGTGAACTCTCGTTATAACAGATTTATAACTGACCATTACCTGTCTCAGCCTAAGGCTAGTAAATATTGAGCAGAATTTTGGCATAAACCTTGCACTTGCACATCCGAATGTCTTAGGAAGCACCCATGGAGAAGCATAAGATCCAGATATTTACCTAGTTCAATGTTGATGAAGTATAGTTTGTATATTGCAATCCTTTAGCAAGCTCTACAGAAAATGAAGCCTCACCAGTATGACTCCTCATGTGCTTGGTAAGACTGTTCCTCTGGCCAAAACTCATCCTGCACATTGTACACTGAAAAGGCTTCTCCCCTGTATGAGATCGCATATGTTTTGTGAGGTCATAACTTTGAACAAATCTCCAACCACATTCAGTACAAAGGTATGGCTTCTCACCCATATGTGCTCTCATGTGATTCGTCAGTGTACTACGGCGTCCAAAGTTGTTGCCACACACAGCACAATGGAAAGGTTTTTCACCTGTGTGAGATCTCATATGTTTAGTAAGTGTGTCACTTCTACCAAAACTCTCACCGCAGATGGGACACAGAAATGGCTTTTCACCTGTATGTGTAAACATATGCACTGTCAGCTGCCTTCTCCTTGCAAATTTCTTCCCACATTCAGTACAATCATATGGTTTTTCCCCTGAATGTGATGTCATATGTAAAGCTAGCTGATGTTTCTGTGAAAATGTTTTTCCACATTCAGGACACACAATGTTTTTCTTATATACTTTCGTCTTTGTGTTTGATCCAACTTTCAGAGAATTTCCATCTCTTTCAAGCTGTACCATATCCACTGCAGAACACACACTGGCACAAGAGTCTGGATCACCAACTTCAGGATGTGTCACTGATGATGTTCCCAGACCCATCTGAAGTTTTACATCTGCATCTGTCTTTCTGTCACTAGTGCTATTTAAACAATCTGGTAAATTCTTGGGTTTAAGACTTGTCTTCTTTACTGAAGGGCCAGCCTGTTGTTCATCTGACCTTTGCATCTTAACAGTTTTACTGATTGGTTGCATGTGTGACCATACATCATCATGTTCTGAGAGAACATCAGTTTCTCCATGTAATCTGTCAAGGAAACTGCATATTAATGTCACATTAAAGAGCAAGCGTGAATATCATATTTGCTCAAACAAATCACATTGCTTGATTGCAAACTGATTAAAATAACAATATGTTCCCAGGAAGTAAAGAATCCCAGAAAGATACATCTGAATATGTCCTCCATTCTGTCACAAAAAATCTTAGAGGAAATCAAGAAAAGAAAGAAATGTTTATTAGTAACAGGTAGATTTTCAGAAGATATAACTTAGTGCACTGCTCAACTATATCCTCATCTTCCTTAATTAAACAGCAAGAAATATGCATGAAATTAATAGCTCACTTTTTTTTGCAGCATATTTCCTATAGGAAATCAGAGAAAACTAAGCTCATATGGAAAAATATAAGCAAACCAAAGTAACTGATATTTGTAAGTCACAAATTCCACCACTGCGCCCCCCCACCCCCCCCCCCCCCCCCCCACATCAACGCAGCATGCAAAAGATACAATTTTTTATCTTACTATTTACTAATATTAAATTAACTGGAAAGAGGTTACATTTTTTACAAAGTTCATGTTGGTGGACCAAACCATTAACTTTTTGAAGCTGAAGCTCATCTAAACCATTTTTAAGAATTCAGTCCATTCCTCAAAGAAATCACAATTCCTCATTAAAAAGATTAAATGATAAATGCTGTTTATGGAAGTAAGTGACGTTTACACTGAAAATCATATAAAACACATAAATACAAATAGTAGAGTTACTGACTGTTGAAGCTGATGGTATGGCTATAATTTAATTCTAGGTACATATGGAATGAATGTGTTTATTATATAATCAAAAAGGATGCCCAAAATGATTAATACCATCAACACAAATTATGAATAACTAGAATAATCACTCTCTTTGGATTTTACCACTTACTGGACGACTCAGGATATTAAATACATTAAATTAAGGGTGGCAAGTTCAATTTATGACAGTAATTACAGTTACCTGGACAGAACCCATTCCAAAAGCAGCCTGTTAAACCAAGATTCACTTAGACTATGAAGTATATAAGAAATTAGGGAGATTTATTTTCATTTGCATGTACCATAAATACAAATTGTTAAATTTGAAACATACATTACAAAGAAACTGGTCTCTTAAACAGCAACTGTAAAGAGAAATTTAAAAAAAAAGTTTATTTTCAGCAACAAGCTCTATATGAACTTAGAAACCATGGAATCTTCAACACAGGAAGCAAACAGGTATAAAAAGAGGGGTTGGACAGACAGACAGTTGGGGCAGTATTGCCCAAAAGTCATCACATGCTAAAAGTAAGAAACAAAGGGACAAAATGTTCATTAGTTTCTTATAATTTAATAAACAGCATGAATTCCATACACTTGGATTTAGCCTCTTTCAATAATACTTCATTTATAAAACATAGAAGCAATAAAAAGCTATCTTCAATCTGGTAACTTGTCTTGTTCTCTTTAATTCTTTCACGTTTTTAGTCAAAACCACAGCAAGGCTATGTCACCACTGATCATGACACTGTTTCATTGCCTTAACATGTCACCAGAACTAATACATGGAAACATCTTATATCTTACAAAGGCTCCAAAATATCCTGCTGGATATCTGAATGGATTATAAAAAGGGCATAAAACATATGAAATTTCTAGAAACTACAAAAATAACATCTAATGGAACACTGCCATATCACGTCTTCAGGCTGTGGAGGGAGAAAGGGTCTCCACATATTGAGGACAGCTACAACACTGAATAAGAAACTGCAAAAAAATTGATGAGGAGACCAGCTTGTAAGACTAACAACTGTTTAATTTTTTTTAAAATAAGTGTGTTACAAATTCTCAACAGCATAACTTAAGAAACAGAAACAAATGGTTAAGGCTAGATAGGATCCAACATAAGACTCCCGTAAACAGTGTCAAACTGTCCATGAAAGTAAGAAATTTCTTAACCAGCTGAGCAACTATTACATTTTAAAGGAAGACTCTGTGTTATAAAATGACAAGTTCCATTCTATTGAAAGTATGCTTATGCAAGGCACAGGTATAGCTGCCTCTGTACCTGAGCAACACAACATGAGGACATGAAAGTAAAGCTTCACTCACTGCACAGTGTCACTACATGAAGGTGAGTAGTCAGTCTGTTTCAAGTTCCAAACACTTCACCCCAAAAATAAAGAGACCTTATTAACCACTGGATAGGAGGGTAGCAGCTGCACTGGTCGCAAAATCATCCAAACCCACCTTATGTATATAAGCTGCAATACTGAAAAACAGAAGCCCCATTAGAATATAACAGAATTTATTTACATTCCACAGATCCTTCATAAGCCCAAGCCAATAATGTAGAACATGTCATGGCACAAATACAATACTTACTTATAATACAAATATAAATAACACAATTATGACAGTAATTTACAGTCAACTACAGTATTAGTGCAAAAATGGTCAACAGAGAGTATGTTAAGCTTGCAAGCAAAACCTGAATATGTAGAATACAAACTTGCTGTAAAGGCTAGAATATCTGGAGCAAGGAATCTAACCTTTCATCTTCATCATCTTCTATATCTGTGTCAGGTTCTTCAATTGAGACTTCCACTACCTCATCCTTCACAGCTGCAAGCTTCCAGCAGTCCTCAATACTATCAGTTCGGAAAACAGAATGAAGAATTTCATCTGTGCTTTCCTAAACATAGTAGAAATTGTAATCCTATATTAACTTAAAACAACACTACAATATTAAATGTTAAAAAACACAAATTATTAAATTATATAACACAACAGCATTTATTTACATTCCACAGATTCTTCAAGGGCCCAAGCCAAGAATGTCGAACATGTGAAAGTACAAAAACAATATTTGCTTCTAATACAAATATAAATTACATAGTTATGACAGTGATTTACAGTCAAGAACAGCATTACAGCAAAAATAATTATACAGGAAAGCATCACCACCATTGCTTACATTTATTTACAACAGCTGAGAATTTCTGGTAAACGTACATTCTTCTATACAATACTTTTATTTTCCGTCGTTTACACAAGCTTATTGTTAAAATCATATAAAATCATATAAAATTTCACATAAAATTGTTACATTTTAAAATTGACGACATGTTTCGATATACAATCTTATCATCGTCAGGTCTATCAAAATTAAAATTAAAATCTGGTGTATCTGTTGCTCTGCTTATATTGTTTTTGTTTTTACTCGTTTTTACTACATCTCCAGGCTTCTTCGATTTTATTTTTGGAGACGCGCCTGGGTGCCTATATCGGGTTGTGTATGAGGTGCGTGTCCGTTGTTATTGAATGGCAGACAGATATAAGCTGTACATTCTTCTATGGAGTAGGAGTGACATAGTTGATAATCTTTTAATGCTGGCTTAAACTTCTTTAAATCATGATTCAGACTTATTTCTCATTAATCACTATTTCATTTAATGTTTTATTCAAACTATCCTCGATAAACTATGCACTCCACTGAAACAAAACCATATGCATTAAAGTTTGTTTCCCCAAGTCCCCAGCAAACTGCAAAACAGCCACCAACACTTACGCATTATGGGCCTGCAGAATTCTAGATTCTGTACTTGACCTATGCAATAAGCAGTCACTCTTCATTAAGCCACCTTACACGATGGTAACCTGAGAATAATTTATTATAAGCAGTCACTCTCTCAGTCATGTTATTTGAAGTGTCAAAATATATGTGAGAGATACACAAGACAAAACAGTAAGGTGAAGATTCTGGTGTAAATTTCCAGATGTTACAGTTCCACACATAGAAGTACTATCATCCTCTTCTTCTAGTCATGAAGTTAATATAAACAAAACTGTTTACGTCATAACAGACCCATCGGAAGATAATATCTGGTTACAAAGTACAGGACTCCTTACACAGTATAGGCTGAGCTATTAGCAACACTGCTAAATAACAAATATATATACAAATCATACATAATTTTAATTCTCTGGTAAGTTATTATATGTTCTACACCAAGCATGTCAAACCCAATGCCTGTTACATGAGACTTGAAAAAGAGATGACTATTAAGGGGGCAAATACATGGGTAGAGAAGATCAAATGCACCTACTTTTACTAATCCCAAAATTAGCTTATACAGCACAGCTAAGTCAGTATAGTGACTGGCTGCGGACTGCATGACTGGGGTACAGGATTTTTCTTCTAACCTCTGTGTCCAGACTGGTTCTGGGGCCCATCCAGCCTTCTGCCCAATGGGTACCAGGGTCCTTTCCTGGGGGTAAAGTGTGGCTGGAGCATGATACAGACCACTCACCCCCATCTAGTGCTAAAGTCGAGAATGAGTAGGAGCTATATCTCCTTTCCCCCTCCCACCAAGCACCTACATGGCATATAGTAGGACAGCTTTACTTTTCGCTTTTCTTACTGTGTACGTTTTATTACTTTATTTTCCAACACATGTAAATTCCATTGGAAGATATTGGAAAATAAATCAGTGATATACAAGTAGCTGTTTGACATGTATTTGAAACTTCAAACTGATTAAAAATGGGAAATTTTAAGTCACACATCAATCATATTTCGAGAACTGAGTCAGGCCTCATAACACATCAAAGACGGCCAGGAGTTTGACATGTCAGAAAAGAAAAGCAATGACAAATTCAAATTACCAAATTCCTTGTGGCTACCTGAAGAGAATGCGTGCTCAGGTACTGTCGTAATGCTGTATCCGTTGTTTCACACTGCACCTTAAACTTGTATGAAGTGTTCACAAGACGGACACATGGTTCACAAATTTGGGCTGGTAACCCATCACCAACAAAAAGCTGAAAATAAATTATAAACTAATAAAAGGCATTACTAATTTCGGTAACTGCACACTCTGCGCTATACTTATATGACAAAAAGAAATATACGCACTGAACACGCAACAATATACCTTTATTATAGGGACAAAATTCATAATTTTATCTGGCAGTGACAGGGTTTGACCCCGGTTGTCATTACTGAAAAGAGGAATTAAAACGTCCTTTCGAGCCATACAAAGGCGACATATATTGCTCATGTACAAGGCCATTTTTATAAAGTTTTTCACCCGACATAAATGTTCCACTACACAAAAAATATGAATTCATAAGAGGACAAATCCTAACACAACCACAAACCAATTACACCAACGCCATGCTACCAAACCACAGCCCCATGGAGTACATTATTCATGGTTGCCATCCACATACATCACGGACTGAAAAAATGGATACAGATAACAGTAATATTTAGATTAGCTGTCGGCACCAGCGGTCCGCCACATCATTTTGTAATTTGGGAAGGGCAATCAGTTTCTGCTATTGAAGAAAATGTTGGTATAAAAAATTATAAAAATGTACGGAAAAAGTAAAAAACCCCAGACAAAAGATCTAGGTTTATAATGTGAAACTCATGTTATTGCCCACAGGTACCTTGATCCGCTGCCCAAATCATGGGTGGCTGGATGCAAATTTATAAAACTAAATACGAAATTTTTGCCATAGCGGACAACTCCACTCTCTTACTTCATTCATTCTTAGGTTCGGTAACACCAACGTAACGGTCGCTTGAAGTTATGAAGTGAAAAGACATCATTACCCATGATCTGCGCATAACAAACGTAATCCAAATTTCACAATGAAAGATCTTTACAAATTACGTGTCGAATTTCCATTCATAAGTCAAATGTAATTTTATTTTCCAAGAATTCGTACATTTTTTTACTACTGCGATATTATGAAATCAGTTGTGAGGCAAAACATAAGCGTAATCTTACCCAAGTGAACACCAGCTATACAGCTTTGCACACAGCCCACATGTTTTGTAGTCCCCAACAAAAATATGAATAGCCAATGTGGCTGCAGTAATAAAAAGTTTCCAGCCCCTGGATTAGATAAGACATTGGCATCCTAAGGCTCTGTACACATATTTGAGCAAAGAACAATCTATAGGACAACTTTTCAACTGCTAGGTGTCAATTTTATTTGTATCCAAATGTCTATTTAACACTGTATAATGAATCAACAAAAACTATGCTTTGATTAGTTCTCAGCACATGACCTGAAATAACATTGGACAACTCACATCTCTGTAAACAACTCAAACATAACATACTGTTCTACTGACCAGTTATATTTTACACTCTTGTACACTCATGATCTGGGAAGAAGACTGATACAGCTAACTGATGATCTTAAACAAGGAAAGAAGATGAAGTTTCAGGAGTTAAAACGAGAAGCTGGGAATAGGGAAAACTGGCGAACTCTTTTTGGGCAGAACAATGGACCTGTTGTCAGACAGAACACTAAATAATAAAAAACACTCATGATTTTAGGATAACGATTTCTAAGGTGATGTTTCCTACAGCATATTTGCTGACCCTAACTGATGTAAATCAACAGAATTTAAAAATGTACCTTCTTACATGACGACAATCATAACATAATAAAATGTATATTTACAGTCAATAACTTAATACTGCATATTAATAAAAAAAAATTCTGTATTCATTACATCTGAAATATGTGTACTGCGGGTAATTCACCCATTTACTCAAATACACAAAAATCCAGTTCTTCTCTTCATGTACTTTGTTTCCTACTTGGAACTTTACTCTCCATTTTCAATACTGATACAAAAGTTAAAATACCTAATATTCATCCAAGCAAAGTATATAAGGCTGTTATACTGCAGACTGACCTGCCAATTTTTACTCTTTAAAAATCATATTCATTACTTTCTGGCTTAAACAAATTTACCAGTCATCAAAAGACTATTCACATACACATACAAACACAATTCAGATGTTCTTGTTTATAGGAAGAAAATCATTTAAAAATTACACCAAGTCAATCTAGTCAGTGGTCACTTGGCTTCAGTTTCAAAACAAAAGTTTATTTAATCTGAAGTATACTGCAAATCATCAGCACTGGCATAACTAGTAAAAGCAATTATCCAATAACTAATGGGATTAACGTTTATTAAACAGATAAAAGGTCACCCATCAAGCTTATATATTAAAAGTGAATAAGCATTCAGGTCAAAATTCATAGCAACAGGAGGGCACTTAATACTGCAAATTTTAGTAATATACATTCATATTTCTTGTAATAACACAATTTATCAGACTTTCAGCAATGGTGGTAACAGCTCATATTGCTTGCTTGCAATGATCTTCAACAATTAATGGGAATGGATACAAATACAATCTTCAGTTACTGAATACATATATACCATATTTATCCAAATACTATGAGCACCTTCCTTTTATATATTTTACATGTAAGAATAACGGATGCATGTCATACTTTAGGATGTGCTTCGGATAGCACAAATTGGTACATGAGAGAATATACAGGATGCAGTAGTATATTTGGCAATGTAGTAGACACAAGCTGTATTGGCTGTTGGGTAAAGTAAGAAGCCCAACCTTCAAACTTTCCTCTTCCCTGCAACAGGAAGTAAGGAAAAGGGGTGTACTGTCAACTATTAATCAGTGGAAAACTAAAATTTTGGAGTCAGTGAAAGTTGTATCCACTACAAAACAGGGGTAATTTGCCACGTTCATTGTAGGCAAGAAGCAAAATTTGCAGTGGTAGAAGAAAAGCTTCCTTCATATGTAGATGACTGTTAATAATTATGTTATGTGATGTCACATGAAATATGCCAGTTGAAAGCATTAGAAATCATGAAAGAAACTAAAAGAACTGATTCAGTTCAAACTGAGGTTGTTTCAGAAACTTTAAATGAAACAAAAACAAGTACTGCAAAAAAGGCTCCCTACATCAAGCATGTCAAACTCGCGGCCCGCATGCGACCAATAAGGAATATTTTTGCGGCCCGTTATGTAAGAAACGTTTTAATAAAAATTTCGTAACTTAATTTGAAGGCAAAATTCAGTGAAGTTGGCGTGCCTGGATTTTACAAATATTTACCTGCCAGGTTTGAAAATACTCGAAAATTCGCATATGAAATTATTTCCATGCTTGGAAATACTTATCGGTGTGAGCAGTTATTTACAATTATGAAAGGAAATAAGTCTCCTGTCAGATCCACAATTATACATTCACCTTGGATCAGTTTTGAAAATAATCACTGCGAACAAGATTTCCCCCGAAGTAGGAAAGATAGTAGCAGAGAAGAGATGCCAAGTGTCAGGAAGAAAACATTAATTTTATCGTTGTTCTTGTTCTTTTTTTTATACTATATTTTTCGAAATAAACCTACGTTTCTATGAAAATTGAAGTTTTTGTTTTTTTGTGGCCCACATAAACTTAAACATTGTTTATTTGGCCCGTGTTAGCCTTTGAGTTTGACATGCTTGCCCTACATCATACATAAAAAATGTTAAAATTCTGAAAATACTGGTACTACAGTATGGGCTACTGAGAATGACCAGATCAATTCAGACATAGTGACAGCAGCAGTGAAGCATATTTGTTATGTATTGCTCATGGTGTTGAGGTATTATTGGCAACTGATGGTACACGAGTAAAGTTTAAAATTGTGACAAGCCAATTTACTATAATGTATTAATTTCCAACTTCAGTATTATTTTTGTTTAACAATTTTTCTCGAGAGAGAGAGAGAGAAAGAAAGAAAGAAAGAACTTGTGCACCTTATTCAGAGGCAAATCCTATTTGGATAAATATGGTGTATGACCTCTGGTAATCAGTACACATTATCGTAATCACTCTATATATATGCTTAAAAACCATTCTTTTAATTAAATGCATGGCTTATCTCACCTGATAAAATAAATAAGGAAACAGTGTTGGGTTTGTCAAATGTAGAAAGCCATTCCATTATCTAACATTAGAAATATAACAATTGTTTTTGTAAGTTTTATTTAAATTACAGGAACCTAATATAGAGCATAAAGTTTGTATATGTACAAAATACTGTGATAAAATCATTATACAGAAATAACAATCAGAAAAACAGTAGCATACTACATACATACCTGTTGCAGGACGATAATCACAACTAATAGAACGAAACGTTTGATACAGAAAAGTGACTTAGGTACCAAAAATATACAAGTTCTAAGACATGTACACTTGTTTCATTCACACAATTTCACAATTAAGTAGTTCATTGTAACTCTGAGTAAAGACTAACTGTGGCACTAATACTGTTATAACAACAATTTTGTAACTAGCCACAATGTTGCTTTTTGTTATCTTTGACTACCCAACACTGGCTGAGGAAAAAAAATCATCCAGAGCTCTTGTTTTATTCATCACAACAAAACTTCAGAGAGATTTCAAAGTAAATGTGTAAAACAATATTCCTTGAAATTCCTTCCCATTCTCAATAAACATTACAATAATTTCTTGTCTTGTAATCGATAAACATAATTCAAAGAAAAAAGTATTCTCATGAAACTCTTCAAAATCCATGTGTAATATTATTACTTTTATTATCATTATTCTTAATATGCTTGTAATATACAGACTCCCTCGCACATGTTGCTGTTATCACAGTACTGCCAGCAACATGCTATTGGTCAGCTGATGGTCAAGCTGGCTTCCTACTGGCTGATCATAAGTTACTTTTATTGTGTGTATTAATCAGACATGTATGGGTACTTCCATTCTTTGAGTGGCACAAATGTTTCCTTGATGGCCTGTGGAGAAGCCCAACGAAGGACATAGTGCGGTCCGCCAGCTTTATCATTTGTTCCTGCATAACAGAGAACAGCAACCACACTCTTAAATTTATTATTATGTCCCATATTCGATTCACAGGACCAATTTTCAGTTTCACTGCCTCTTTAAAAACACACAACACATAAAAAGCATGTGATTCAACCCTCAACTTCAAGCTGGCTACAGACTATGCAGTCATATCTGTTAACAATGTGTATAATTTATGTCCCTGATTCATGAGTACAAGGAAAAGTGCAAGTACTATTCCACTTTGGGTTATTATATCTTCCATTGTTTTCTTTGCAGTTTTGCAAATCTCACTGGTAAACAAATTATTTTAATACAGACATAAAATTTATACTGCAAAGCCAGTCATGTTAAGATACCACACCCCATGTCCAGAAATTATTTATCCTTTTTATTTTGTTAAATACCACACTGAAGGAACTTTCAAACAAAAGCTGTAGACCCTGATAACCACTATTTTTATATCACTTATATGTTTTTGTACAAGCTATTTCTTAAAAAAATAATCAGAAGTTTGATTAGAACTTCATGTAAATAAGGTGTTATATTAGACTGATATGTACCAAAATTAAATTCACTTGTTACTTTGGTTTAGTACAGACTCCTTATATAAAATTTAATAAGTGTAGTGTACTTTCAGACATTAACCATGTGGACAAACACGTATTTGGTTTGTGCAATGAATGAACAGTAACATGAAAAATGCAATCCTTTGATGTTCCTACCTAATTGTGATGAGGAAACTTGGAAATAATTAATGCGCATACAAGCTACACCAGTCAGGCCCTCCTATACCAGACAGGTTAAATAAACTGATAAGGTGGGTAGGCCTAAAAGGAGACCAAATAATGTTGTAGGCCAATCCCATGCACACTCAAAACTTCTCAATTAATCTGCTGAATACTAATCAAAACACAAATAAACGAATCAAAGTTGGTTAGATGATGTTCTACCAAACTCACCTGACATACGCCCTCCACCAAACGGCTGTTGTCCAACCACTGAACCTGTGGACTTGTCATTGATGTAAAAGTTCCCAGCTGTTTGCTTCAATTCTTCCAGAGCATACTGAAGAAAATGTCTGAAATTTATATAAGAATAAGTAGTAAGTATTAAGCAATAAGTATTAAGTAATAAGTTTTATTATTTGTAGTGTTCTGTCTGACGACAGGTCCATATGAACAGGATCCTTCCATCCTTATCTCGGACTGGGACCTGTTCATATACGTTCTTGGCAGATGATCCAGAAGTGGTTTGCCATTGCCTTCTTCTGTGTGTGAATGGAGTAATTGTTGGGATGCCACGGAGAAACCGGGGAAGCCCCCGGAGGAAAACTCCGTGATGCCTAGACCACGGCCTTGCCCAACACAAGTTATAAATCTGAGCACCACCGGGAATTGAACCCGGGACCCCAGGATTACAAGGCCAGCGTTCTAACCGCTAGACCACCGTGGCCCTTAAGTAATAAGTACTAAGTATTAATAGCAGCAGCAGTAGTAGCTATAACAGCAGTAGTAGTAATAGTAGTACTAGTAGTAATTCAGTTCTTATTAGCTAGTAACAGCACAAAAATTATAAAAGTAATAAATCATACAATCAAAACAACAATAATAATGAGCACCAACTTCAAGTAGTTGCATTATACAATCCACATACTATGGTGACTAAAATATGCATTCGATTTCAAAGGAAATGATGGCATTTGTATTAGCAAAACCATGCTGTACACTTTTATGGAAAACCAAAAATACCCAATTTTCTACCATAAATAAGAAGGCTAGTACATGTTGAGTACAACACATTATTCAATGCAGTTTGGACAAAGTATATCATATAATTTCTACTTTTACTGAACTTGTTCAGCTCAGCAGTAACATGAATGATTTGCACATCATGTAATTAATAAAGACACTGCCACAAAAAAGCAAAACTTTTATTTTAAGAATGCACTCAAACATATTTTCAAAGTAAAAATACTTATGCGCATCTACTAATAACAGATTTCGTTATATAAAAGTAATAACAGGTTATGTAACAGTCCTTCACAAGCAGTTTATGCTTTATAAATATCAGCCAACAAATAAACTTCATATAAGTACTTACTGATCTGTACCAAAGACAGCTCCTGTCAGGGCATAGGGTGTTGACTCACCCACAAGTCTCAGAGTAAATTCAAGGTCCTTTTCATGATAAACATATACAGAGAGGACAGGACCAAAGATCTCCTCCACCATAATTCGATCTTCTGGATCTAAAGCTTCCACAATAGTTGGTTCAATGAAGTAGCCCTTGCTGTAACAACGCACCTCAAAGTTATTTTGTATACGGCATCAAAATAATGAAAATCTTAAAACTGAAATTAAATTCCATATCACAGTACTAGTTATTGAAAATATTATACTAAAATAACCATCAGCTATAACTCATATTAAATATATCTTACTGTATTACACCCAATATGTACTAACCCATACAGGCCATCCATTCTCAGGGGCTTCTCATGTATCTATAGTAAAGTATTCAATTTACACACTTCATTATAACGTTTTAAGTGCTATTCCTCAGCATATTTATTGTTGCACATTAGTTCTTTATATATCATATTTCTTGTGTTAGTTTATTGCTATGTTCTGTCAACCTATGAATTGCAATAGTGCTTTGTACTCTGATTTGCCATTAAGCTAAAAACTCGTTTTTGAAGTCATACAAAAACTTATGCAACACTAGACTAAGTGTGTTGAAAAGAGGGGAGGCCATGTAAGAAATGATGCCCTTGTGAGTTCTTTATCATTGTTTTCTTTATTTTAATAACAATGTAGATACTTTTAAACTTACCTATGTAATAAGTAACCCACCTGTTGTCATATTTCCCACCCCCAATTACTGTCAAATTTTTTGAATTATTTGCATGTTCAATATAGGACTTTATTCGCTGAAATGCCTTGTCATCGATAACAGCAGAAGTAAAACTGTCGAACTCTGTTGGATCACCAACTTTTAGCTTAGACCGTTCTGCTAGAAGACCTGCCTTGATCTGTAAAAAAGTTATAAAATACTAGACATCCCACTTATAAATGTTCATTACTTATTTCTGTCCAAGAAACTGTCACAAGTCAATAGTGTAAAAGCACTTTCTTATAACTAATGGTCTGCATTTCCTTGATAAATTAGTAGTAGCACATTCCCTAAAACAGGATTAATGCAGAGAGACTCACATTAGATACAGTAAGTACAAGTAAATGCAATACAGCATGGCATTAGGAACATAATTTTAAAATAAATATAACACCTGCTTGTTTTATGCAACTATTGTAGACATAATACAAATTTTATGAATCCCCATAACTTTAATTCCAAGACACTTTTCTCTCAGGTTAGTAGCATAATTATCCAACTAGCTGACAGTCAAAGAAAAATAATGCTGAACCATACTTGTTATTTGTACACATTTCTTTATTCAGGTAAGTGTGGTACTACAGTGAGACAAACCAAGAAATATATTTGGGTCCATAACATAAGCCTTAAAACAGATTTAAATTAATGAAATCTACACACAGTAATACCCATGCAATCAAAAACTGTTACATAACTCATAAGATAACTATGACAGATAATTTAAAACTTTAAAATGAATTAAAGTCAATGAATATCCCACATACCACACTCATATAATATAGTCAAAACTGTTCAACAACTCAAAAAATAAACATAAACATTGACTTTGGACCTTAAAAAACAAATATAAATTAATGTTAACACATGGCAATATGAACAGAACGTAACTGCCATATACAGTTCCATCAAAATGAGGGATTAAAAAAACATATATAAAGGTTTAAGAAACAATTATGTTCTTGCATAAAGTATCCCTTGAAATAAATTGAAGGGAATGAAAATGACATGTGCTAATTCAGTATATGTCTAGAATACCAAGCTTCACAAAAATCAGTTAGACTGTTTGGGACCTTTCCACATGAGCAGACAGCTGACATGATGAAACTAAAGGGTAGTTTTTAAAATACACCAAACAACTGCTGTCAAGTAATGACGTCTCCAAGTGTCATTTTTCACAAGCTATTATCAAAACACTTTAAATGACAAATTATTTCACTCGTTTCATTTTGCTCAACATGCATACAAACTACTTACTTTTGGCCATAATGACTGTGGCACATACATCCGAGAGCAAGCAGAACACTTCTGACCACAAAATTCAAACGCTGATCTGATAGTACCCATAACAACACTGGTGACATCTGCTGACGGATGGACAAAATGGTAGTTCTTACCACCACACTCTCCAATAATTCTCGGATAGCTACGGTAACGGTTAATGTTTTGTCCAACCTGTGTCCAAAGCCGGTTGAACGTTCTACAAACATAAGGAATTACTTAATGAGTAGTTCTGGGTAGACCTAGTAAAGCCTCTATACTTACAGCACACAGTTCCAGTCCTATAAACCTTGTATTGCCAATGTTATATTTAGATAATGTATAAGTTCATGGGCTAACTTACACCAGAATTTCAGTTAATTACACAAAAGCTTAATGACATAAAACAATATACATTTCATTGCAGTGTACAAGTTCCATTTGATGAATTTTTAGAGATGGTGAACACTTACAAAATGCAAGGAATGTACAATAAACTAACATTAAGGCCAATGAGGTATGCAAAATAACATAGAAAGCATTTGGAAAAAAAATTGTTTACTGCACTGCCCCCCCTCCACCCAAATGTACAGGTAGCCTTCGATTTGTGCCGGTTCAATTTGCGCTGATTCAAAATAATGCCGATTTTGAAACCAACAAGTCAAAAAGTGAAAAAAACATATTTTACTATTATTTATAACGTTTTACAATGTATCTCGTACTGATTCTTATACTAAATTGTAATTCTTACATCGCTGATTTTAAATAAAAATTATAAATACAGTCATCTCTGCAATTACATATGTTTCGTTAACGCAAATTTGCTCCAATGAGATCGATGAATCGGTAATAACTGTTTGTGAAATGCAAACTTTTGCATATGCGAGTTTGCTCTTATGCAATTTCATTCCTGGCACTTTAAACTTTCAAAGGACTAATTTAATCTCTGCGGAGGTACCGGGGTTATTTTTACTACGCGATTTTCCATAGGTCGGTGTCTTACATGAATGCAACTATCGCATAACAGCAGAGATGACTGTACACATCAATCACATGAAAGAATCGCAGTCAATCGCGGGGACCAACGAATTGCCGTTTGTAAGTGTATAAAATATATTTTTTTAATTCCCTTTATTTTATTTACGTTATTTCAGAGCTTTAAATGTAATGCCATTATATTACTTGTCAATGTTTGGGTGCTGGGAACGCATGTCAATGACTCCCCATTGATTTACATTATAAAAGAGTTTCAATTTACGCCAGTTCGTCCAGGAACGCATCCCCGGCATAAATCGAGGGCTACCTGTATTGAATAACTTTGGAGTTTAGTTATGTCTGCTGAAGCTGTTCTAGTGTTTCAGTGAATAGTGCAATTCCCATTTTTAGGGTGTATGTATGGCAAACAGAAGGGGAGCCATAATGTTGGTGCCAGGTGAGTGAAGTCACTGAGTTAGCAATGGCTTACGATGCTGACCTACCTACAAGGAATACTCAGTAGTTAAAAAGAAGGGTTTTAGGAAAACATCCCCAAATATATTGAATTCCCATGGAAATATGATTGTGTGAAGTCTATTTTCATAATCACATCCCATTTAATGAGATCTGTAACTTCAAAAATCATTCAAATACACTTACGGCACAGATCCTGTGAAGTTAATTCCACCAAGATGTGGAGACGATGTGATAGCATCTCCAAAAACAGGACCATCGGCAGGCACAAAATTTACCACACCCGGTGGTAATCCTGCTTCACGAACAATCTTGAAGACAGTGTAATTTGAAAGCAATGCTGTGTCTGAAGGTTTCCATAATACTCCATTCCCCTGCAACATGCAATGCACTTCATTAATAGTTTTACTATACACTTTTTAAAGGGTTAACAGCATGTATTCCCATTTACTAGCTAAACAGAGTACTTGACGATGATGATGATCACAACAATAAACAATTATACATATCATTCCCTAATATAATGAAAGACCTACCATAAGAGCTGGAGTGTAGGCTAAGTTGCCACCAATAGCTGTGAAGTTAAACGGCGAGACTGCAGCAACAAAACCACCAATCCCTCGATACCGCATGGAGTTCAATGTTACTGATGGTTCCTCACTAATTGGTTGGTATTTAGTTAACTCCTTTGCAGAATATGCATTAAACCTACAGCAGAAATTCCATTATAAACAACATTACCATAAAATAAATTACTGTTAATATTCAAGATACATCAAACAAATCTTGCACGTACAAATACAAATAAATATGTTTATATACAAATATAAATAAACACATTTATTCAATCTGTTCACATTCTTGAGCTGCATTATGGCTAATTATCAAATTCCACGGAACCAAGAACTTCATAAAAAACTACTTAGATTGTAAAGAAAATCCCTGTCTTTCATGGAACCTGAAGGTTCATTACTGCGTTCACAACAGTCCACCATCAGTTCTTATCCTGAGCTTGATAATTCCAGTCCACACCCTCCCACTCTACTTCCTTAAGATCCGTTTTATCCTTTAACAACCATGCATCAATTTATACATGGTCCAGTTAGCTGTACATCACAGTAGCACACTGCCACACCATTAACCCTGTTGTTGAAGTCCAGCCAACAGCCCCATACTATGTGGGTTTGAAACCCCTATTCCTGCACAGTACAGATTAATATCATACTTCCATCTATGCCTAGGTCACCAAGTGGTATCTTCCTTTCAGGATTTCCAACAAAAGTATTGTACTCATTTCCCCATGTGTGCTACATGCTCCACCCATCTCATCCTCTTTGACTGTCATAATAACATATGCCAAAGAGTATAAATTATGAATCTGTTCATTATGTAATTTTCTCCAGCCTCCTGTCAACTCATCACTCTTAGGTTCATATATTGTAAATAACTTGTTCTCAAACACCCTCAAAATACACTCTTCCTTTTACATGAGAAACCAAGTTAATAAACATTTATTTCTGTCTTTCAGAGTTAATCATTATAAAACTCTAAGTTACCTAAAGAAATCAATCAGTTCAGCTGCTGAATCGATCTCTGCCTGGATAGCAGTCTTAGCTTGACCTAGCATGGTTGTTGCATTCAGCTTCATGCGGTATTTGTTTGCCATCAGATCAGCAGCCCGATGCCAAATTTGCAGCCTTTGCTCTAATGGAGTTCGATCCCATGACACCTGGGCTGCAGTGGCCACTTCTATTGATCTTTGCACAATATCCTGCAGTAAACAAGTACACCACCAAGAAGCTTTATAGTAAGTGATATCATCAGTATACTTGAGCTAAAGAAGTTTGGAACCCAAAGCACTACATAGAATTTGTTTACCAGTCAGCATTGTGGACCAACTTGATACTGCTTAGTTTCCAAATAATTACACAAAATACAACTGTTAATTATCCAAATTTAAATAAACTTTGCCTCTTTTCTCATTAATTCATTACCAATTTAGGACATCATTAGGGGTAAATCCATACCACTTATAATCAAAACTTCTGTCCAAATTCTAATTTTAAATCATTATTTAAAATTGTTTTAAAGTCTAATAAATAGGTTAAAATTTTGCTGGTTCTTCTATCTTCATAACTAAGCTCCCTCAGTTATTTTGTTGATAAAAGCTCATTTCAGATCTGTTTTCAGCTATATGTGGATCCCATTTCTGTGTGCTTTCTACACTGATAGCTTGTTTTGTATCCACCCTGGTTCATCCAGATGTGTTGTGAGAAATGTGTTATATTTTAATATATATGAAGTTCAAAAAGTTGTCTGTATCCAGACCAGCTATAGGGCCCACCCAGCCTCCCGTCCAATGGGTACTGGGTTCCCTTCCCCAGAGGTAAAGCACAGCTGGGGCATGATGCTGACCACTCAACTATATCTAGTGCTGAGGTTGAGAATGGGTAGGAGCTATATACCTCCTCTCCACCCAATGCCTATATGGTGCATAGTGGGATAGCTTTACTTTTAATTTACTGTTAAACAGTTGTATCTGGCAGTCTAATTGTTTAGAAACTGTCAATTAATGCAACAGATATGAACAATATATTTGGTACTGTTAATATTACAATGCTATTGAAGCTATACTCTATATTTAACATCCCCATCAGATGACAGCCTTTTGAATTCTAGCCAATTTACAGCAGAAAGAATAACAACGCAGGCCAGCACTGAAGCAATGCATCACACTTGCATTCAAGAGGTACTCAGTTCAAATTCTGTGTGGAAATTTGATATCCAAATGATTTTCATGGTTTTCCTCATTCCCTCTACATAAATTCCAGAACAGTAACTTTAGCTGCTTCCTTCCACATTCTGCCTGCCCTATTCACAACTGTTTTATTATATCTCATTTAACAATACAAAAGCTTTGCAGTTTATACCACAATGCAAAATAACCAAATAAAATAACAGTAAGAACAATTCTCATTTTGAGAAAAGTACAAGGAAATGAAGGCAATCTTATCACACATAACAGTATATGGCAGTGGCTTAAGACACATCAAAATTGTGATTTCTCACATATAACTTACTGTAAGATTTTTCATCTTAAGTATAAAACTTCATATTTATTAGGGGATAAAAATTACTAGAAACATAAGATAGGTTACATTACAGAGCCCAGGAGATTGAAATGAACATGGGACAATGATACTAAAATATCTTAGGAAAAAAAGTTGTGGTAATGTAAAGTGGAATGAAATACTTTGGGATAGACACAGATGACTTTTATGATGACACTGATGAAACTTCAGGATCTATAACAGAAAATTTATTGAAGAAACAAATACCTATCAACTTGTCAAAATGTACCTGGAACTAGGATGTCACAATATCTGAAATTTGAGGTTCTCACAGCTGTGAATATATCCGCTTTAGTCTTCTGGCTGTGATGCTGTGTAGCCTTGTGAGTGGTTACCATTATTTCAGAGAAGCATATCACCTACATCTTCAGGGTTGAAGCCCTGTAAATGGAAACCATACATTCTTCTGAAATGCTGGTAACCACCAACATGACTACATTGTATCATAATCTAGAAGACAACAGGAAATTAGATATTTCAATGTTCATTCAAATACATACGTTATGCATACTTATATCATAAATATTTTAACAGCCTAAGAACAAGACACTAGTAAAGATTTTAGGTCATTATTTTATTATTGTTAATAAGACTCTAGCAGCATTTTTCATAGTGCCATTTTCGTGCTTCTAACATTTAACTACAGGTAATTTCATTTAATAAATGCACCCTAAAGCATCCAGTTTCATTACACCTTAGTTTTTAGTGTCTGAAGATATTAATGTCACTTCTGTACGTATAAATGTATATTCTAAACCGACTGATTCTTACACTATTACTGATGTTTCAATTGTAAAGGATACATAGCATCAAGTGATATGACCTCAAATGAAGTGTGTATTAGGATTTGAAGGAGTCAGTCATGACCTATTTCAACTAGTCCCATACTCACTTGGAAAGAGACTAAAGAAAACCAGTATGGGCAGATTATAATGTATCAGATTCTAACTGGCTACCTACTGAACACAAGTCTAGAATATAATGGCTACTCAGTTCCATTCTGAAATACAATACTAATGCAATATAATTACTGCATCCCTCTTTTCTAAATACAATTTTAATCCCTCAATAAGGTCCGTCCTATGAGGGGAGGGGGAGTTGGACAGTGAGTTTTCTCATTGATTATTATTCTTAAAACATCCAGATTTGACCAAGGGAAATGAAAAATATTTTTAAAAAATGATAGAGATTCTCTCAGGGAACTCTTTGGATACCAGAAGCAAAATACTTAAATGTTAGCCCAAAACCTTTACTGATAACATACACAGCAGAAAACTCAATTTCTCCCATTACAGTTCAGATAATGTGTTTACAGTGTCAGAAAAGTCAGTTACTGGTAACATGACCAATTTTTAAGGTATCTGAGTGAATAAAGCAACCTGAGTAAAGCATACAGTCAGGACAGCCAGTATTCTAATTAAATTCATGAACCCTCTGAATAAGAGCTACTGAAACCAGTTCAACTTTTTTAATGAACCATTTATAAGAGTTTTGAAAGAGACCTACAATGTTATGAAGAAACACACTTAAGTGTTACTTTAAATTAAACCTACTTACCAATGGCTAAACTAAGAATTAAAGCTGGCACATCATTAAAGAGATATGGTTGATATCTCTAATTTTCACACAGCCCTGTGAACTATCTCCATGGGCTCAGAAGTGAATAATGGTAAATGCCACTTTTCAACTTCTTCATGTATTGTGTGTGAAATACATTATGAGACATGCTGATCAAGAACAGCTACGTAGTTCTGCTGTAAGTTAAAATAGAAGTATACAATTATGACTTTTCAGCTAAATAAGTATGTAATAATTTTGTGAAAATTAAATGTAGATTACCTTTGAAACTACTAACCATAATGTGGTTGTCTCTACCCGTAAATTCCTTATAGCTTTTAAAATGTCAACACTCAAAATATGCAGTTTTTTAACAAAATTGTTCACTCAAAGTTCATATTTTAATTTCTGTAATAATGACTGCTAAATCTTTTAGGACTACCTAAAATTTTATTATACCAATATTATATGCTCTTTTTATTAAATGAAATACCCAAAATTGTAATCTGTATTACAATTTATTTCTAAGATTCTTATCATTACAATTTTTTTTAAAGAAATAAACATAATAATGTTAAGTATTAGTATTAAATGGTATTCTGCATGTAAATAAAATGAATATCTGAATTTGTCATCTTGCCCACATAATGATGAAAAATAATATCCACCAATGGCCAATTTATGTACTGCAGCAGCACAATGCAGTAACATTTTTTCCCACTTACTGCTGTAATTTCAGAAGCCACAGAACAAGCATGTACAACCTATGGCCCATGGATCATATTCTTTTCGTGTGCAAACTCGTAACAGTTTTATTCAAAAAGACATATGCAACACAGTATATATTTCTTTTTCTTTTTTAAAAATGTTTTCTATTCATTTGTTTGCTCTTGGATTCACACTATAATTTTTCAAGTAAGAATTCAGATTATGAATTTCTCTAATACATCTGGACACTCAACCATCAATAGACAGTAGGAGGTAATTAGGTACAAAAGGGGCTTGGATGTTATTTAACCGGCCCCTGTCATGAAGACTATAACTCATCCATTCCACACAGAATACATATCACTGGGAAACAAATCTGTGTCTCCCACTCTCCCACCATACTTCAATAGATTTTGAGTATGAAAGAAAACCCATATACCTGACTTCCTTGGACATGATTCCTGTGTTTAAAGAGTGTAACATGATGAAGCCCTTCCCAATTTTAATCTTATCTTTCAATGCAGCAAGTCATTAATTTGAGAGAAAATACCTGTTCCAAGACTATGTAGATAAGTATAACTTTGTCTTTGAAGGAAATACAGAAAATATTTTCACACATTTGCATCTCCCTTTGAAATAGGTATTACAATAGAAACCAAAATATTCTGAACAGAGCTCATATACTTACACAGAAACAAGGAAATTGAATAAACATATCCATATTAATTTTCTATGGAATTTTAAATTCATCCATCAAAACAATTTCCTTCAGTTTTCGACACACCACTGCACTTAAAAGAATGGGAGAGAGCCTGTATTTGTAAGCAACTACTTTAAAAAATTAAGGATTCAAAATCAGAATTAAGGAAGAGATTTACAGACAAATATTTGCGAAGTGACTTTAGAGTAACTTCCTCCAACAATTAAAAATAATTGCGTGAACAACCTGTGTCCAAATCCTCCACTTTTCTTGTTGCCTGGTATTCTGTTCTGTACTTAATTGGATAACTATTGTAATAAAAATACTAATTATATTGTCTTGAATTTAGTACGCTGCTTGTCTAGATGTAATTTTTTAATGTATGTATTTTATGTTTTTATACTTGATTTTGTGACGTGTTCTATATCCACTATTGGATTCTTGGAACTTGTAAATAAAAATAAAATGGTAAACATCTCTGAAGTCAGGAAGACAAGCATTGTCACTTTAATGACAACTTTTAGTATTGATTCCCAATACCAAATTCCAGTCAAATCCATTCACAAGCTTCAGAGAGTAAACATGCGCATGGACAGACACACACAGTCCCCACTATAGTGCATTAATTTCATACTTCATGCACAGAATACACAATAAATATCTATAAATCAAACAGAAAATTCATACATGATTAACTACCTAAGTTTCATTATCTGAGTTCAACACAGTTTCTTGGGGAATTTAATGTGATGAAAAACTTCTTCACAGGAAAACTGTACAAGAATGAATATTGTTACATGTGTACTGGCATTTTATATCTTACTATTAGAAATGTTAAGACAACTGTTTTAATACTGTTACTGATGACTCAAAATGGTAACAAGAGAATTTAACCTTTGCCAGCAAAGCAGTCCAGAATGTTTCCATAAGTGAGATTAAATACTGTGTATTATTACAGGTAAAGAACATGAACTTTCTATTCAACTCTGATAAAAAACCAAAAACATTATAAGTATTTAAAACACACAAATTTTGTGATATGATTACTAATCCAATGCCATGCCATTTGTTTTCAAACATTCATTGAGACCAAACAAGTTCACAGATTACTTAAAAATTTAGATTACAATACTGTACACTGCACTGACTGAATGATATTAAAGTATGTCATCATTCTCTACCGATCTTGTAATAATTCTGATGGCATATAGTTCACAATAGATACTAAATTATGTGGAATCCTTTGTTATCAAGAGGATCATGTAATTAATAACAAAGTCCCTTCTCCTGACATCAGATTTTCCTAAATGGTTTCCTGTTCACTGCAGATACCAGACCTCTGTAACCCTAATTCAGACTACAAATACATTCTATTAAATACAACAAAACTTTCAAATCTGTCATTCTGATTTAAGATTTATCCACATACTTTGTTTTAACTTTATCAGTTTCTTATTATTTTATAATATTGTTTTGCTCTGGGGCTTATAAACAAGGATGCAAACTGATATCAATAATTTGTACGTTTTGGTGAAAGAATCTGAATGTCAATATCTAAAATATATAACAGTATATAGCCATTGCTTATATTGTTTGCAAGTCTGGAACTGTTATTCCAAGTATACTCCAAAATTTGTTAAGTATCAAGGTATCACTACAGTCTTGAAAGACTTACTGTTTCTAATACGAAACCAGATTGTAAGGAGTCTCCTCCTTTCTCCATTATGAAATCACAACCTTTGAAAGCAATACATAAAACTTCTGAACAGATTTTAACCACCTTCATGTACAGTCTAGGCTTTCCTCTAATACAATGTATGATAAATAAATATCTGCACTGATTGTGTATGTATGCATACATAAAGTGAACAAACTGGGTAAGATAAGAAGGAAGTGGTTGTGGCTGAATTTAAGGTACTAACCCAGCATTAGCCTAGAGGGACAGAGGAAAACCATAAAAACCTCAGGATAGTCAGTCTATGGGCCAAAATTTGAACCTGGAATGGTAAACATCTCTGAAGTCAGGAAGACAAGCATTGTCACTTTAATGACAACTTTTAGTATTGATTCCCAATACCAAATTCCAGTCAAATCCATTCACAAGCTTCAGAGAGTAAACATGCGCATGGACAGACACACACAGTCCCCACTATAGTGCATTAATTTCATACTTCATGCACAGAATACACAATAAATATCTATAAATCAAACAGAAAATTCATACATGATTAACTACCTAAGTTTCATTATCTGAGTTCAACACAGTTTCTTGGGGAATTTAATGTGATGAAAAACTTCTTCACAGGAAAACTGTACAAGAATGAATATTGTTACATGTGTACTGGCATTTTATATCTTACTATTAGAAATGTTAAGACAACTGTTTTAATACTGTTACTGATGACTCAAAATGGTAACAAGAGAATTTAACCTTTGCCAGCAAAGCAGTCCAGAATGTTTCCATAAGTGAGATTAAATACTGTGTATTATTACAGGTAAAGAACATGAACTTTCTATTCAACTCTGATAAAAAACCAAAAACATTATAAGTATTTAAAACACACAAATTTTGTGATATGATTACTAATCCAATGCCATGCCATTTGTTTTCAAACATTCATTGAGACCAAACAAGTTCACAGATTACTTAAAAATTTAGATTACAATACTGTACACTGCACTGACTGAATGATATTAAAGTATGTCATCATTCTCTACCGATCTTGTAATAATTCTGATGGCATATAGTTCACAATAGATACTAAATTATGTGGAATCCTTTGTTATCAAGAGGATCATGTAATTAATAACAAAGTCCCTTCTCCTGACATCAGATTTTCCTAAATGGTTTCCTGTTCACTGCAGATACCAGACCTCTGTAACCCTAATTCAGACTACAAATACATTCTATTAAATACAACAAAACTTTCAAATCTGTCATTCTGATTTAAGATTTATCCACATACTTTGTTTTAACTTTATCAGTTTCTTATTATTTTATAATATTGTTTTGCTCTGGGGCTTATAAACAAGGATGCAAACTGATATCAATAATTTGTACGTTTTGGTGAAAGAATCTGAATGTCAATATCTAAAATATATAACAGTATATAGCCATTGCTTATATTGTTTGCAAGTCTGGAACTGTTATTCCAAGTATACTCCAAAATTTGTTAAGTATCAAGGTATCACTACAGTCTTGAAAGACTTACTGTTTCTAATACGAAACCAGATTGTAAGGAGTCTCCTCCTTTCTCCATTATGAAATCACAACCTTTGAAAGCAATACATAAAACTTCTGAACAGATTTTAACCACCTTCATGTACAGTCTAGGCTTTCCTCTAATACAATGTATGATAAATAAATATCTGCACTGATTGTGTATGTATGCATACATAAAGTGAACAAACTGGGTAAGATAAGAAGGAAGTGGTTGTGGCTGAATTTAAGGTACTAACCCAGCATTAGCCTAGAGGGACAGAGGAAAACCATAAAAACCTCAGGATAGTCAGTCTATGGGCCAAAATTTGAACCTGGAACCTCCAGAATACAAAGTAAGACTGCTAACCACTCAGCTGCAACATTCAGTGGCAGTATATGTTGGAAAACAAAGGTTTAAATAATGGACTCACCGATGTAGCATAGTAGAATTTAGCTATTTTCTTCTGATGACTGTGAGGCTAGAAAAATCAAACAGAAAACAATAAAGAATGAATGTGCAATATCCAAATAATCTTTTCTTAAAGTTCCATTCCAAAAATAATTTTACTCTTCAAAACCATACAAACTTAACATTAAAACTTAATGAAATACCTGTAAAGTGGCAATTACAAAAACAGAACATTTTATTCTACAATCTACTTAAATTTAACAATTACCAATAATTTCAGGACCATATATATTTCAACCATATATCATTCATGGTAATCAAAAATCTTGAACAGCAGTAACAGAAGTCAAAGATTCTGAAGTGCAGGCCACCAGATATTTTTGTAAATACAGTGGATTCCGGTTAATTGGGACACATTGGGACTAAAACACTTTGGCCCAATTAATCAGCTGCCCTAATTATGAGAAGTTCCATGTAAAGAGTTAAAAAGGTTTGTTCTTAAAGATTTGTCCCAAATAAATGGCTGCCCTGATTAACAGATGGCCCAATGAACAGGAATGTACTGTAATATAAAAGTAAAATGTAATCATATTTAAATGTTATTAATTTTTTTTTGTAGGATTTGATGTTTTCATGGCAGTGAGTCTGAAGATGGCTGTCTTCTGGGTTGTTGCACTGTGTAGTCTGGTATAAGTTTACCGACATTTCATTGTTGCCTCCATCATTAGGGTGTTGAGTCCTAATGATGGAGGCAGCTGGGACCTCTGAAATGCTGTCAATTCTTCCCACACTTTCCAACATTTCGTTTGTGCAGAAGTGTCACAGAGTGGAGTAGATGGGTTATGAGAAATTTCTCTTGCACCAAAATGATCCAAAGACTTAACAATTTAAGAACTACCCATTTAAACACTTAAAAAAATGCACACAAATTTAACATTATATTAAATACTCACCCAATTTCAATTCTTCTTACACTCCTTAAACTGTAATGGCAATGGCAAACCAATCACCACTCCAATAAATTCAAGTAACTAATATTCTAAAAATCATTAGAGAATATACAACAATCATATAGGATGATTTTGCCTTTCATCAGCATAAGTTATGCTGCAACAAACTTATTCTAATGATGTCATTGAAACATTTAACCTGCTTACCATAACTTGATATCTGACATCACTTGCCCGAATTTCTTCATCTCCAATAACAATGGGCACATCCTCACAAGTGGCAGCAGTTTCTTGTAATGCTGCTACCAGTTCTTTGCGTTCCTTGCTCCCTTTCAGGTAAGCTTCATAAAAAAAAATTGTTATACAACACAACATTATATGAGGACTGTTCAATAAAGACTGAATATGTTTTTAAATACCTCCTTTATTATGAATTACTACAAGTGCATTCTTTTCCAACATAGGTTCCCCTTAACTCAATATACCTATTCCAAAATTTATGCTACTCATCAAAGACATGGCTGAAGCCATTTTTTGACATCTTAAATTGTCTCTTCAGCTTTGACTGCAGCATCTATGTATGGTCTGGAAGCGCTGTCCTCAAAGCTGCCTTTTTAGTGCAGAAAAAAGAGTCACAAGGCACTAGATCTGGGGTGAAGGGAAAGTGATGGATACACTGAATGTCTTCACTTGTCAAAAAGTGACAGTGGAACCACGGTTTCGGAGAATTTGACGTAAATACATCTATGCGGTTAGGAGTTTATACAGTGGCTTTATTCTAAACATTTTCTTTATACCCGCTTTACAATTGATTAAAGTTTGAGTAAGACAGTACTGCCTACCTTGAATTAGTTATGCTTAAGATGGGTCTGTGGTAGGTGAAATATGTTATAAAATTTGTACATTTAAGAGTATCAACATATCGTGCAAACACCATATCTATACAAGATTTTGATCTAGTAGCACTACATTGAGGATTTGATATCAACATTAAGCCAAACGTTTTCTCCATAAATGTGAGAAAGCTTAGGTTTGTGGTTACAAATATACAGGGTTACAATTAAAACTTCTTCACCATTGACCATACACTCTGGAGTTCATTATTTAATAGAATAAAAATTTCCTTGGATATTATCCATCGTCTAGTAAATATAAAACGTAAAAAACAACGTTTCGGAGATTGAACTCTATCTCTGTCTTCAGGTTACTACACAGTTGGGCCCACTAGATAGAGCTAATCCCTATCTCCGGAGATAGCTCTATCTAGTGGGCCCAAGGAAATTTTTATTCAATTGACTCTTCACCATCGTCAAGAAGTTTTAGATTTGATATATCATTATTTAATACTTCTATTTTTTTACGTTTTCTTTACTGTCTCATATATTCTGCGTTATGGAGTCTTTTAGCTTCAATGTCATCCATCTTGTACATAGTATGATGCAACAAATTAGCGCAACAATAGATTTCTTAATAATTCTTATATAAGATAAGTACTTGTGATATTCTAAAAGGTTTTTACCAGCACAAAATTATCTAGTCTATGACACACTTCTTCTACAAGCGATTCACAGCTCAGCTCTTTCCGCAATAACGAAAGCGGAATGTTTAAGGCAATAATGAAACACAACAATGCCGAATAAACAGATGACGTTTCCTAGGTAACATAACAATGCATACAAGCTGGCCATATTTACAAATTGTTGATATTTCCTAGGTAACCATCTTACACATTTTTCTTACACTTTTTCCTTACACTTTTTCGTTACACTTTTTTGCGGAATGACACTGACCCTTCCATATAGACTTATTTACGTCAAAACTGAATGACAATGTTCACAACAAGTGGTCTTGTCAATGTCATGACAAAGTATCCAGTGTCCAATACTCCCTAAAGACATTATGAACATATCAGACAACTCTCTACTGGTAATCTCTCAATTTTCACACATTATAACACAGGTGGCATTAACAGTCACATCAATTACAGCTGAAGGAGCTCCCAGACCACCCAGCTTCTTGAATGACTCCTGACCTTCAAATTCTTTAATTATTGAAGTGCCACTGACTGAGGCAAAACCTCTTCCCCATAAGCCTTTTTTAACAAGTTGTATGCTTCATTTTCAGTTTTCTTGAAGTGGTAACAAAATTTCAGCACAGCACATTGTTCTGCTTTAACACCCATCACGATGGATGCGCTACTTTGGAGGTGAGACAGGCGTAGCTCATAATCAAGGTCACAATACAAGCACAATTAAACATGCAGCAACCTGTAATTGCACATGGTGACTAATTCCTATCAGAGCTACCATCTACCATAAATAAAAGTTACATCAATACTTTCAAATATTTTACAAAAAACCATTCTCAGTCTTTACTGAACAGTCCATGTAATTAAATAAAGAATTGCCAAGTAATATTCTATTACAAAATATTTTGCACAATTCAGGAAACTGGATTATTAACTTTACTAATATAATTGCAAAGTAAAGGTGCTGGATCAACCGTAGAAGTGATGAGTAATGAATAAGATGAAAATGACCGGACAGCATGGAGACAGAAGTGGTCACAGTCATAACCCATTTAATGATGTTTTTTCCAACACAAAAGCTGTATAGAATCAAATGTTTGGATAACTGAGAATAATAAATCAGGAACTTTGTAGCTCCATGTGTATGACAATCTCTTTTAAAATCATCCAAACATTTAGCTTGATGGACTGGGGGGATTAATAAAGAAAGGAAAACCAACACACTAAACTCATCAGTCCTTATGGCCCATGCTTAAATTCCATGGGTCAATTTAAATGCTGCTCAAAAAATTTCTACTTTAAGTGGGTTGTCTCCAAAACTTTGCATCTATCCCTGACTTCCCACAACTCCTCAGTCTCTTCTTATGGTTTTCCTTCCTAACCTGCTGTTCCCATCTTGACCTCTAGGTCTCCCCTTTGGCTTTCCCTTTAATTTCATCAATAGAATTATCTTTGGTATTCTCTCTTTGTCTTATATCTACTTCCTAAAATTCTGACTGTTCCAACTCAGTATTTTTCTTCTCTGAACTCTGTGCCCTCCCTCTCTCTGTATTATTACTACTGATCAAACTGATGCTGGTCACCCCTACCTCTAGGGCCAAAAGTTCATTCTGATAGCTGAAATGTAAACAGTAAAGACTGAACAGATCAGTGAAGCTGCCTATTTCAAACATCAGAAGGAACATGTACATTTATAAAAATAAACTTAGAGTGAATGTTTTGTGTTAAAAAGAGTGTACTTTCTATAACAAGAACTTTGTCACTAATAAAACAATAATGAAGACATCTGTCTCTTTACACAGCAAAAACATATAACGCTCAGTTAATCTATAAGAACATAAATTCTGTACACATATAGTAAAACTCACATAAAATAGGTTCATTTTTCACACGAAAATCATCAATCTTCACCTCTGGCACAACAGAACTAAGAAGTCGGCAATTAAACCTAGAATGAACACAATACATAAAATGAACTACAGAAGAAATGATGAACACAAGATATGCATAGTTAGATTTCATCTAATGTAATATATAATAGTCACTAAATAAAGTAAACATGAAATATTCATGGCATCAGTGCATTTCAGATCTTTTTAATCAATAATCTGTTAAATGAAGTTCCAAAATTCTGACATCATCTTTAAGGCAAACATGGCTATGCATTAACAACCTAAGTATGTGTATTTAATTATTTAATCAACAGATTGTCACATCTAAATACAGCTGTTGAGGTGACTATAAACACTCAATCAATAAAATAAATCCTTAAGAATGTAAGGCATATGGTATGAAACCTGTGTGTCTGCACATTCTTTAACACACTGGGCTGCTGCTACCACTGTTTCTAAACAAGCATGAAAAATAACACATTAAACTGAATTTAATCAAAATGAATGCCTGTTCTTCTCAACTTCTTCAATGAAGAGAGCTGATCTTACTGCTTCTCTGTTTTGACATCTTTGCAAGCAAATGTACACAACATTCAACTATAGGCACCAAACATTATACCTTTGTGCCAATATATTATTATGCCATATTTTCATCAACTGAAATGTCAGGGTTTGATTCCACAATTTGATAAGTCAGAAATGCAGAAATATCCTAGAAATCTGACTGTCACAGACCTATAATAAATTCTTCTTGGGCTACCAGCCATGTAAGGTGGCCGGAGAAGAAACTGTTATACTTTGCTACCATGAAAGCTCCAGATCATATGTCACAAACTTTCTTCAAGAAATAAAGACTTTACTTTTCAAATCTCACTTTGCAATGCCACAGTGAAATAATGGAGCACTGTTCTCAACATGACAGTCATAATAAATACATAGAATACTGATATGGCTGTCTTCTGGATTGTAACACCATGTAGTCTGGTAGAAGTTTACTAATGTTTCAGAGAGTCCTTGCTAACTCCGTCACCAGGGCAATGATGATGGAGGTAACAAGCATCTCAAAATCTGAGCCAGAAGTGTGGAAATGACTTCATGAAGAAGAAGGTATCAGGGAGAGGGGATACATTTACTAACAGGAAAGCAGCCCTGGTATCCTCTGGAAAGAGAATTAGGACATACCATTATCATACAGCATATCGTGTTAGGAAGGTTTTTTCGTACAATTCAGATGTGTACGTGTAGGTCATTAAAAACAATATGGAACTTCATTATTCCACACTGTGCCAGAGTATGGTCAGCCCTCAACACATGACATCGTGATAAGGACTAAACGCCCTTAGTAATAAATCAAACTAAGAGAGACTTTCATCTTATCACACAGGAAGTGGGGTCAATTACAGGGGGCAATTTTAATTTGCCCACATTGAAGGGTCAATTCCTATCGGACCAAATGTCACTAGAACGAAATAAATAAGAATCAGCGTATATCTTTACCTTTGGACATTGCAAAGCAGTCCCTGCCGACTTAAGTTAAACATCTTCGACCAAAAACAAACAAGAACACGAATATTTCGAAATATAAATACTCATCCACCTTAGTTCAATAAGTAGCACACATATGCCTACCGTACATTTTTCAACTCGATGCGCAAACTCCTACTGCGCATTAATGACAAAATTGGGGACTTTCCATTGAAGAAACGAAAGCATTCCAAATTAGTTAAATTTGTTTCAACGACTTGGCATAAAATATTGAAATTCTTCGTCTTTGAAGAAAACAAGTATGTCAAATGTGTGGATCGATATAGTGAATTCTATGATTAATTCACGGTCTATTTCCTGGGCTTCGTGATGTCATTCTCATCCACTGATTGTTCTCAAACCTCCATTCCAAGCGAGGTAGCTAAATGTGTAATAGACATGTAATTTATCGTTATAGATTACCGTCCTTTGAAAAAAATAACAATTGACATCCTCATAGAAATTGTGACCATCAGTTGCTGTTGAAGATGTATGAAAACTGCTATTGTAAAGATTACAGTAGTCGGGGCAAATCTGTGCGTTCTACGTTCGTGAGACGTAAGGCGCAAGGCGGATCAAGTGGCAGGACCGTGTTATCCAATAGACACAGTGCCAGGGACCAACGGAAACATTTTTTACCTTTATTTACATAATAAAATATTTAACAAAGAGCTGCCCAAAAGAATTATTAAAGATAATTTTTATCACCAATCCACCCATAAAAATGTTTCCACCAAACAAAACAGAAGTGCTTATGGCTTACGAGGAACTTAATCCAACCTTGTCCTTGAGATGGGAAGGGTAGTAACTAAGGAAACATACAGTGTCATCCTCTTCAACATTATTTCCCAGCAACAGTACTTTGTATCTTGCTGTCTGTCCCTGTGGTGGAAATGTCTTTGGATCATGCAATATATATGTATATGCCCTAGTTTAATTTCTTACAGATGTGTCATATTATTGTACCATTTACACACAATTCCCATTACACAAACTTCCGACATTTTAGTTCATCCAATGAAAACAGGAGAACATATCTTCCTTTCTTGGAAAAAATGTTCCTAATTTTTGGCAAAAAAAGAAATCAGTAAAATTAAATTTATCATACACAAGCATTCGCATATTTGCGAAGAGATACTAACCAATGATGAAACTGATTGGAATGGGAAAAGTGTCCTACTTCAGGGTTCCCATCATACCTAAACAAGATGGACATATTTAAATAAATTCTGTACGTGTGCATATGGGTAAATGATATAAATACTTCTAAAATGTCAGTATAGATCCTATTATTAATACTGTCACCAAACTATTTACAATATAAACAGTGCATTTAAAAGGTAATTATGTAACTGCAACAGAGTTGATTCTAGCAAGAAGAGAAAAGATTACATGCCGGACCTATAATTCATCTTCATATACGTACGAGAGCAGAAGAAGTAGTGTCACTGCCCAGAAGACTAACACTAACACCTTCAGTACTGCGAGAACCTCGTATCTAATTTACTATAACATGTCTGCAGCATAACACAATATCTACTCTTAAATTATTTTGCAGTAACCCCTAACTACGCATTTCCACACTTCCTCCAGGTGAATTCAAGTACTGCTTTAATGCAGGCAATAACCACTTCCCTTCAAATCCCTCCGACACGCAGTTTATGTAGTCATGAAATAATCCATGAACCACAAAAATATTCATAGCAACATACACCAGGAGTGGCATAGGTAATACAAACCAATGGCTAATCAAAAAACTATATTAATATTACTTTTGCATGCATTTTTATTCTCACTTCTGCATATGAATATACAGGTACCTGCTATTCTAGGATTTTACAACTCTTCTATTCTGGCCATGGCTAGTAAATGAAGAAATAGAAATACTGTATGAAAATGGTTAGCAACTATATAACAGAAGCAACTTGTGCTTGTCATTATTCATAGTCTTCTTCAGAATACTGATTAATAGTGACAATGATGAATTGGAAAATTGTATAAATAAAGTTGTCATTGTTTATTTTATGGTATATCTCAATTTGTCTCCAAAATACCAGGAAAACCACAAAGAATCTCCACCAGGGTAGCTCATCTTGGAACCCCCAAAATCAAAGCAGAAATAATAACCATTACACACATATTTAGTCTGCTTAAATTATTACAAACTTTTGTCAAAAGTAATAGTCTGTATTTCTAGAAAAGCATCGGCCAACAGGGAAAATTTAGTCACCAAGAGGCAATGTACACTATTTACAGTTCCATAAATAAATAAATAAAATTATGAGAGACTGAAAAAATTACAACAATTTACTATGGGTAGCAGAAACAATGTTTTATATATAAAAAAAACTGTTATTATGCAGTACTGAAACTTCTTAAAAAACAGACTGAAGTCCGCGATATCTGAACTCTGCATTACAGTCATGACTTATTAATAAAAGAAAATTAGTTACATGTCTGCACATGCATGTAATCAGTGGAAAATTTTGGCAGTCGAGCATGTATTTCATACTTCATGTTCCATGATCCACTAATTACAACACAGCAAACACACAAACAATAAAGGTTACATAACTGATATAATACAAAATAGGATGCAGAACTCTATGTAAAATACCAGAATGCAAGCAACTGTTAACAACCCAAGAATGGCTAACATGAGAGCCCAGGATGTCATGCAGTCCCTCCTCCCCTCAAGCCACAACTAGATGGCTAACAACAACTGGCTGACTAACGATGCATTTAATCTGATCAGTTCTGTTATGTTCCAGTGTATGGAGTACCACAGAAGTAAGTGTTTTAATTTTTTGTTTCCCAAAGAGCCAGCCTAACATGGTTAGCATGCATGTACTAAAACATGCCATTTCATAAAAAAGTAATATTTGTCCAGTGTTACAAATGTGAACTATATTTAGGAATGTTACAACATATTATAAAATGCTGAGTTACACAATATTTATGTTCTTATAACATTACAACAGTTATGGTAGGCATGTAAAATGTCAAATACCACAAAACAGCACAAGACATAACGTTTATATGTTTATTGTCAGAAGTAAGAAAATAAAATACTGAATGTATGCATATATAGCTCAGCATCACATGCACCCCTGTTTAATGGGTGTGAGTGTGTGTGTGTGTGTGGGGGGGGGGGGGGTTACTTTCAATTTTCCATTCATTTTTAATTATATTAAAATTCAAATCACAAGCATTTTTCAATCAGAATAGTTCACAGTTCAAATTCCTTGTAATTTATTTTCAGGAATTTTCTGTCTCCTTCAAGCTGTTATGGCTCCAGTTGCAACAGTATGTTTGTCAATATGGATTTCTTTATGTCTTGATGATAAATGTGATTCGACGGGAAAAAAAAAAGTGTAGGAACAATGTCTGATGTCAGTGAAATGTACGAGGGTCACTCCAAAAGTAATGCACCATATTTTTTTTAACAAAATCACTTGTGAATGTTTCCGTCTCATTCTCACACATCAGGAACTCGGTAACAGCTCGTTTTTTCTGACGAACGTCAAGGACAGCAGCCATGTTTAACGAATGATACACATGTGCCACTTGCGGGAGAAGGATGAGTTAAGTTTTAATAGAACCGGGACGAATGCATCTCTGTCCTGAGTGAATATCAACACGGTAGAATAAAAGGGGACTTTTGGAGTAACCCTCGTATTAGACACTGGAGACACCAGAAGCCTCTCTCTTGAAAACAGATATCTGGATGGTCAACTAACTACCCTGAGGCTCAAAAGTGGAAAAGTTCTGTCAAGTGAAAGATTAAGTTATTATATACCAAGAAATATATATAAAAAACAGAGTGTTTCACATGAAAAATCCCAGTTCAAAGCTCTGAAATCATCCACAGTGCTGAAACTTAGAGCAAGTTGGGAAGACAAATGAGGTCTGTGCCCACAACAACAGCAGATATTTTTGCCTGTTATGTTTTTATATAACATCTCAGAAAGTTAATATAATGTCCTATACATTTTTATACTAAAATTACATGTTTAGGAAGAATAATATTGTTTCCATATATGTTGATAATGTTTATCCCAGTGTGGCACTAGAAGATGCAAATCAGGCCTAAGTTTCTGGCAGAACAAACTGGTCCTGTATTTCTACATATATGGCTTTTGTTTATAATTCTTCTGTTATAAATTCAGATCATCTACTTTGTAACCATACATCTCACAATTTATTGTGTAGTCATAAAATATTCTGAAAATACATTTCATATTCTTAGAAAGAGATTCTGATTTTAATTTTGTAATAGTCTTCCATAGTTTCATTAAAATATCTCACACCTGACCTCTCTTCCTTACTTGTATGGACATGGCATGAGCATACAAACTCCCAGGCAATATATATTAAGGTGTAATGAAGAAAGGAAATATATCACTTTTATCAATGTTCCACGAATGGGAAGAAACAAATTTGCATGCATAAATACAGGAAGGCAACCTAAGAAACAATGTAACTAGAAGCTGCATTTGGATTCACTGCCATATCAGATCTGCCTGGCTACAATAATATGCAATGAGAAAAAGCAAATTAATAATTATCAAATGCTACCATCATTATGACTTGTAGGTTGTCCCTCTGTAGTAATGCCTGCAAACTTAAATGCAGATAATTCTGATAAAAATGTTAAGATTATCACTGACTATCTGACACCAGTTTTTGAATCAACAGCCTAATAAATCAGATCTGTTTCATAATGAAAAGGTAAAGAATCACTGTTATCACAAAACTCATTTGTCATGAACTCCGTATATCACCACCAAGCAGTGTAGTCCAATCAGCGGACTTCCAAGAAGATGCATCTAAAGAACTTCTTTCATTTAGGGTGTCAGAATCTTTTCTAGAAGTGGGTGGGGATGATGCATCCATTTCTAATTCAAAGTATGGAACCAGAACAGTCTTAACAGATGGAAGTTCAGCTGGAGCTGAACCAAGAAGTGGTGAAACATTTTCCCTCATACTTTCTTTTGTTGTTCTCGCTAATGGGTCAAATTCTGAGCCAAATTCTTTCACTTCCTGGATGTCTGTTGGCATAGAACTGTCTGCCCAGAACGCTATATTAGGCACACTCTGACTGTAAAGTGAAGTGGAATCAGTTATGCCAGGCTTACACTGAAGCTCACTACATGGTGATGATGTTCTTCTCCTAGTCCTGAATCTAATCTTGTCAAGTTTCTGGCAGAACAAACTGGTCCTGTATTTCTACATATATGGCTTTTGTTTATAATTCTTCTGTTATAAATTCAGATCATCTACTTTGTAACCATACATCTCACAATTTATTGTGTAGTCATAAAATATTCTGAAAATACATTTCATATTCTTAGAAAGAGATTCTGATTTTAATTTTGTAATAGTCTTCCATAGTTTCATTAAAATATCTCACACCTGACCTCTCTTCCTTACTTGTATGGACATGGCATGAGCATACAAACTCCCAGGCAATATATATTAAGGTGTAATGAAGAAAGGAAATATATCACTTTTATCAATGTTCCACGAATGGGAAGAAACAAATTTGCATGCATAAATACAGGAAGGCAACCTAAGAAACAATGTAACTAGAAGCTGCATTTGGATTCACTGCCATATCAGATCTGCCTGGCTACAATAATATGCAATGAGAAAAAGCAAATTAATAATTATCAAATGCTACCATCATTATGACTTGTAGGTTGTCCCTCTGTAGTAATGCCTGCAAACTTAAATGCAGATAATTCTGATAAAAATGTTAAGATTATCACTGACTATCTGACACCAGTTTTTGAATCAACAGCCTAATAAATCAGATCTGTTTCATAATGAAAAGGTAAAGAATCACTGTTATCACAAAACTCATTTGTCATGAACTCCGTATATCACCACCAAGCAGTGTAGTCCAATCAGCGGACTTCCAAGAAGATGCATCTAAAGAACTTCTTTCATTTAGGGTGTCAGAATCTTTTCTAGAAGTGGGTGGGGATGATGCATCCATTTCTAATTCAAAGTATGGAACCAGAACAGTCTTAACAGATGGAAGTTCAGCTGGAGCTGAACCAAGAAGTGGTGAAACATTTTCCCTCATACTTTCTTTTGTTGTTCTCGCTAATGGGTCAAATTCTGAGCCAAATTCTTTCACTTCCTGGATGTCTGTTGGCATAGAACTGTCTGCCCAGAACGCTATATTAGGCACACTCTGACTGTAAAGTGAAGTGGAATCAGTTATGCCAGGCTTACACTGAAGCTCACTACATGGTGATGATGTTCTTCTCCTAGTCCTGAATCTAATCTTGTCAAGGAACTTATTCTGCCATGAATAACTCATGTTGAGCCCACAACTGTTCTCAATGTACTCATCTGTAATTAAGGGGGCACTAACAGAGTGCTTTAAATTTATGTCATATCCAACTGTTTCAGAATGGGTTAAAGCCAAGATCTGCTGGATTCTCTTCTGGCACAGGTCACAGTACAAAGGTTCATCAAGTTTGGTTTTCAAAACTGGAAATTCAAGGTCTGCAAACTTCACATCAGGGGTACCTAAACTATTATATCTGTTATGCATGGAGTGTTTGTATTCACCACCTGAGGTAATAGAATATGGTTTTTCCTTTTGTGATGTAGGATTATCAAGAGATATAGCAGGTGGTAAGTCAGTCATAGGTTTCCAGCGCACACCTTTCTTTGCTCTTGAATTGCTGCCAGAACTTCCTATTGAGCTATTTCTCTTGACAGGCATCAACTTGGGAAAACTTTTAAATTTCCCAATTAAAGCCCTTCTACGATTAAGACTCAGTTTAGATTCTGTAAGATTAGAAATGGATGAAATGCCAGGCCTCACACTGAGTAAGTTACCACTTAAAAACAATTGATGGTCTGGATGTTCATAGGTTAAAGGTGAATGCTGTCGTGCTTGTGGCAAAGGAGTATCCATTCTTTGCTGAGATCCACCCAGGTCTATGGATATTTCTGACATTCTTAAGCTGTCTGACTTGTAGAGAGTAGATGAGCTGGGCCATTGCGGTAGTACCAATGAAGGTCTCCTTCCTGGTGCACTTTCAGATTGTGTCAATGGCTTTGATCCTTTTGAACGATGTTCCTTTAGTGGTCCACAATTCAAACTAGAATATCAGAGTGACTTTAATCAACAAGAAGCATTTATGAATAAAGCAAGATGGCTACTGCAGGTCTCTATCCCAGAGTTCTTATATATGTAAACATATAACTTGGAAGAATCATATTGATCTACTCAATAAAAAATTGAGCAAGGCTTGCTATATAATTAGAAATATGAAACCATATATGTCCACTTCAGTACTAAAGGCAATTTAGTATGTTTTTTTCATTCCTTAATGAGCTTTGGTATCATCTTCTGGGGAAATTCATCTCATAGTTACACTATTTTTCTCCTTCAGAAAAAGGCAATTAGAACAATGATGGGATGTGGCAATAGAGTCTCGTGTAGAAATATGTTCAAAGAATTAGATATTTTACCGTTGGCATCACAATATATATTTTCTTTATCATTGTTTGTATTACAAAACAAAACTCTTTTTCCATCAAACATTGACTCTCATACTATTGATACTAGACAGAGACAAAATTTGTATCTACCTCAAGCTAATCTAACAATTTATCAGAAAGGAGTTCATTATGCGGGTATAAAGATATTTAATAAATTACCCATAGAGATTAAGAATATCTCAAATAATCTTAAAAAGTTCAAGGTTGCATTAAGGCATTTTTTAATGACTCACTCATTTTATACTGTGGATGAGTACCTAATTGGATAACTATTACAATAAAAAATACTAGTTATATTGTTTTGTATTTAGTACACTGCTTGTTTAGATGTAATTCTTTAATGTATGTATTTTATGCTTTTATACTTGAGTTTGTGACATGTTCTATATCCACTATTGGATTTCTGGAACTTGTAAATAAATAAAAATAAAATAAATACAAATATATAAACATATATATATATCCACAGAGCAGCTCACTGTGAAGCAATCTTCTTATTGGTGCTGGGAGTAGAAAAATATTGGCTGTTATGTGTGTGGTCATGTAGGGATAAGGTACACTTTAGTGCAGATAATAAATGAAAATCTTATTTCTAAAATGCTGTCTGTAACAAGTAGTAATTTCTGTGACTTCACAGTAATTACTGAAACAGGTGTCCTACAACATTCAAACATATTTCATAACAATGCTAGATATTCTGCAACAAAAGTCAAAAGTTTTCTGTAATTTCTATAAATACACCTACATTTTCAGATCCTAATGCCTACAATTAGTATATATGTTTCTACAAACTGCTGATGCTACATAACCTATGCAATTGAGGAAGTGTCATTAGGTACATAAGATTCCTGAGAAATAAAAACCATACACATCTGTATACAAGGAACATGACAGCAGCTCTCCTACAGCAATCATTCATTCATGAAACAAAGTCTGTAGACTCAATGATGACAATTTTTATCGCCAACAGATGGATAAATTTTTATGCCACCTCTTTGTATCCACACTGGACTAGACTATCCATGTGACAGTCAAGATTTAAAAAAGATGCACCAATAGTAAGAAGGCACAACCTTTGCAGCAAACTTCTCTGTGTATAAAATTTCTAAATCTTTAGGTTACAAGATGGAGACTGAGTCAGCCTACAGTATGACTTACCCTTTCAATGTGTAAAGATCAAATAAAATACAACAATTACAATTCTGAACCAGTGTCACAAAATTTAGAATATCACAATTTTCAGTACAGTAAATACATGTTTGTAACATATTCATGACAGTTTATAAAAGAATTATGTTAGGATAACTTATGCTCTACTGTATCTCCAACTGCAGTCATTTCTAATATCAAAACGTAATTTAATGTACTTTCTAAGTGCTAATCAGTTCATATGTAGGCTGCAGTTACTTCATAAAAATACATATTATTAAATGAAAACAACAGAGTGCCTCACTTTAAAAGTCTAATGCAAACAGATTCTCCAAAAATGAAATAACTGTAGAATGCTATACAAGGATATCACTCTCTCCCAGAAAGATAGGGTTATCATAAATTGTAACATGAATATGAATGACTGTAGCATATTATACAGCACTATTCAAGTGATATGTTACATGATAAAGCACGATCAAAACATGAGACTTTCAGTGTATAAGGTTAGGATGCCTTGTTTATTCAACATACAATGAAAATATAAAAAATTACTCACCTCAATTCTGATTCCTTGATT